GATTAGTCTTTTATTTCTTTTGCTGAGCTAGAAAAAAAGCTTCCAGCAGTCATGTCACCAGATTGGAAGTCAGGGAGATGTTTTCATTTTCCAGCTCTGTCAGCCCTCACACTGTAAATGAGCACCAAAATAAACAGTGTCTGTGGAGAGGGAATGAAAGAGAATACTGTTTGGGAGTACAAACACTGCAGCCCCACTGCACTCGGAATTCCTTTTCTACAAGAGAGACGTGAGAGCGAGAGGACAGAGGGACAGGGCTGCTGACCAGCTGTTCGTTTCTGCTGATACCTGCGCAACTGTAAATAACGCTTATTGGTTAATAACCGCTCGACTGCCTCTCTGAGGTATCAACATCTTTTACTTTACAGCTTTTGTCATTTTGGGTTTTAAAAAATCCAAAATCCACTTAGAAGCGCAGAGAGGGAATGTGGTGCTGTTACTTTGGCCAGTTTGGTATTGTTGGCACCTGTAAAAATTGCTTTAGAAAGTGTTTCTTGGAGTGTAGCTGTTTCAGAACCGTGGCGTGTTGGGGCTGTTTGTCAGTTATTTTAAGCACAAAGTTACTGATGTGATGAATCCCCTGGCATGGGCAGTGCTATGTTTGTCCTGTAGTGTCATAAGCCTTCAAGGTCTCAGGACTAGCTGCCTGTGCACCCTGCATAGCCCCCTCCCCCCTCCGCCCCCCACCCTGTTTTATCTGCTGCGAGCCGAAATGATCGAGACATCTCTGAGCTACTTCAAAACATTCCTCGACCCTCGATGTGTCTAAATTCTTCAAAACGATCTGCAGAATATGGACACAAGTGCACAAACTGCACGGGGGACAAAGACAAGAGGAAACGGAGGAGGAAGCAATGGTGTTGATTATGTGGGGTGTGCGCTTTTAAGAATGTCGACTAGAAGTGATTAAGTTTGTATCTCTAACGAGAGGTGTGCGTCCAGTAACTTACCTGCTTGTTACCAATTGCATAGAAAACATTTACAAAAATGGTACTGAGCATTTTGTTGTGGTTATTTTTTATATTTTCAAATTAGTATACCATTCCATGTTCTGTAATCTAATTTGAGGCTATTACCTACTCTTAAATATTAAAACGGGACGCCTCTGTGAAGGGAATTTCAAGGTGAATGCAATTTAAAAATACCTCCACACCACCATCTCTGCTGTCTAATCTGAGATATTCTGTCTGCCTGGTTTTGCTAAAGTGAAATTTATTGTTAGCTTTAGCTCTGTCTGCTCCAGCTGGAGAATCATGAAAATGTACATGTTAACACCACAGATTAAGCACCACATTCATGTTTTTCTTGGAAATAGATGGTTTTCATGTCACTAAACGTCTACCGCTGTATTATTGTCTAAACATATGATGGAATTGATGTTATTGTTAAGATTCCTTTAAATAATATCATGAAAAAAACCTCTGGGTTAATTAAATTAGTCTAAGAGCCATAGGAAAGAATAAGCCAGGAAGAGATTTCCAAATAATGGGTGTCTCTTTTGTTTGTGAAGTTTGATAGGGGCATTAAGCTGTTTCAGAAAACATTCCCCCCATTTTCCATTTTTACTAGCTACTGTCTCAGAGCTCTCCAGCTGTTTTATTGTTAAAACCCTGCAACTTTGCAGTTTTGAGTATACCCCCTACTCTCTTTGCCACATTTGAGAAATTTGATGTACAAAAGTAATTTAAAGGGTTATCTGTATACCAGAAAACAGAGATTCTTTGTTTTGCACGATAAAATATGCTTTTATTACATTTCTCTATTTCAGTATGCCTCATCTGGTTTACATTCTGAGAATCCAAATTCTGTACAATTGTCTCCCACATTCATGTTGTGCCTTGCCATCACTTTTGTTTTAATTTGATCCTTGTATTTCTTTAGGTCATCCTGTTTTTAACAGGCTGTTTCAAAATCAAGCCTTGAACAACAGATGAAAGGATCTGTCTGTGCAGCTTGGCTGAGAGGCTCATGCTCATTGGAGAACTGAAGCTTGGAGGTCCACTGACTATTGCATCTGTCAGAGGAGGCAGAAGCCAACCTAAACAACCAGGATCATGACCGTACCTCTTGTACTGCGGAAACCAGGAGTAGTCCTGGAAATGAAGACGTTACTTTCTTACTCACTTGCACTACTAGCACTGCAGGAACTAATGGCATAAGACTTCACCATATCTTACCAAAACCATTTCAGAATATTTTCTGAGGTTTCCTAGAAGATACAACTGAGGTTCACTACACAGATATAAAAACTATAATTGAAAACTGAGAATCGTACATCTATTATTTCTTGTGTCAAGTGACCACCTACTTTATTGCAGCTCCTTGCTGATATTGTTGAATCGCCTTGTGCTATGATGCAGTGTGGTTAGATAGTCTGAGTTTGACAGCTGAGTAAGGAATCTTTCAGCTGGATAGAAGCTGATATCTGATGTGCTTTCCATGCCTTTCCAATTGCCTTTTCCCAATGCCCCTAGCAGTTGTCTGACAGAGTTCATACATGTGATTGGCAGTGTAGAAAGACTCGGCTGACAGACATCTTTGAACAGCCGGTCCAAGGACCTTTATGGATACCAATGGTCCTGCCGAATGTGCAGTAATTATCCTGCCCACATGACAGTCATAGAGATCTGTCTTCAGTGTCCTGAAAGCTAACAATGGCTGTCTCTCTGAGCTGTTAGGACTGTGAGTCACATGATAAGACTGTGACGTTCTGTATATTTAAGAAAGGATGTTTGTTGAAAACCATAGTTTCCCAGGTTACAGGAAATAATCCAGGTAGTTCACACATACAAGTACTCGTTGATCATTAGACCATTTACCACTTGGGGAACAATGAGAGGCTTTGCTTTTGATTCTGCAATTCTTAGTTTAAAAATGCTCAATGCCTTTAATGATGGCAACAGTTATGACTCCTACATCACCTTTTATGTCATTGAATACTTTCATAGTTTTCTAAAAGATGTGATAGCTGTATATTTTATTTTTAAATTTTAATATTCAATGAATAAGGCTTAATTTAAGAAGTTTGAGAGCCTTTTTGAAACAAAATAAGAAAACCAAAGCAATATCTTTATAGTCCTCATTGAAATTTTTGAATGTCCTAAACACAAGAGTACATTGAATAAGCAGACTGTTGTGATCCTGGTACAAGCAAACATCTTCCTAATCCATTTAATGGATGGGCTATTTTTGGTAATTTCAAGAATCGCAGGCTGGCAAGATATTATTGTTTTTTATTTATGTTTTTATATAATAGAGAATATTTTATATTGTTTGAAATGTCATAACAGATTTAAGGCTGCTATTTTTAAGATTATAATACTTTAGAGACAAAAGAAAATACTCTTCCCTTTCAAGGGCAAAGCAAAGCAAGACATTCTCATTAAAATTCTTTGTTCTGAATTTAAATGTAATGAAATGGTTTTGTTGTTGGTTTCAAGAGGAGCCTGTTCCTCGTGGCTCCTCCTACTAGGGTCCATAAATTGATTTTTTAGTATTTGTTTGTCATACTAAAGAAAATGCTTGAAAATTGCACTTTATATCTTTTACTTTTAACCCTAGCAAGACACTGTGGTCTGAACTAGTCAACTACTTTTTCTGTGTATGAATATAAACTAAAAATATTGAAAGACTACATTTCCGATTTTCACCTGAAAGATGGGCAGGCCACTGGCAGACTCTACCACTTAATCATTGTTATTATGTTGCTGTTTTAATTGGCAAAATGTTTTGGCAAAACCTTTTTTCATTAAATGTTGCAAGTGAAGTGAAAGGCAATCCAACATCCATTAATAAAGATGAGTTGCAGATCCATCTCCTAAAATGTGGAAGAACATTAAGAAAATAAAGCTATGATCTCCTCTTGATATTATTTCTTACAACGATAGTTCTTTAACATGATTAAGAATGATTAATTAATGATTAATTAAGAATAGCAAACATGAGGTTGCCTAATTCAGTTCCAGTTTATGCCTTAAAAGTATTATGCACCCAGGTTTCCATATTCTTTCCCTATAAAGCTCCGGTCACTGGCCGTGCTCATGTATTGTTGTGTTATACAACGTCATGACTTTACAAACTTGCTGTACACATTGAAATGAAGTGTTTGTCTAATAGTTTGAAGAATGTCCTCCTTAGACATATTGTAGATTTTCATGTGCAGAGTCACTCAGACACTCAGGACACAGCATTGTCCTCGAGTCTACTGAGCTGCAGGGTACAGACCATAATGTTGGCAATTGCACTCCTTCATCCACCTGTGTAAATATTAATATTTTAATGTTTTAAGACTCGTTCCTGATCTCCTCTGTTGCTCTTCTTTGGTTGGTTTGACGTGGGTCTATCCAGAAATGAATGATTTCCCCCAGAGCAAGAATTGCCATTTTTAACCCAGGCTAAAGAAATTATTTTACAAACTGTTGTGAACCTGTTTTACAACAAATGTAAATTGTGTACATCCATGCATTTATAGTACATACAAGTGGATTTTGTGATTACAACTATTTTTCATAATAAAGTTCTTTTAAATAAATCTATGCAAAGACTTTGCTGAAATACATGTTTACAGAATTTTACTGGGAGTCTTACATGTAATACCAACATGTCTTTTTAATATTTCTGTTTGCTTAAAATTTGCACTTACAGAGCTTCAACTTAAAATGCAAAAGTTCTGTGCTGTGGACTGTGTTTATTACAGTGGCTGACAAACATTTTGTTTACTGACTGGATACAGATATTTTAACTGTCCTATGAGAATAAAATTCTTGCTTCTGTTACTCTTATTGCTTTAGTATTAAGCCCATAATCTGATCTTTATGAAATTGTCTATGTGAATGTCTTGTGTGTCTAGACTGTATGAGAACACTGTGAAATTTTAAATAATACTTTCAGGCACATTAAGTCTTTTTTACTTTTTACTTTTAAATATGTAAAACAATATGACTACAGTCTAGCCCCCCCCCCCCCTTATTACTAAAACAGAACTAGATTTTACAGTCTTGTTTGCCAGTGTATTAGGCCTTTAGGAATGATGTTTAGCAGTTTTCCGATAGCTCTGATCTGATCTGTATATTTTAATTTTCAAGTAAGGAATTTCCACCCAATGAAAAATGCTGAATAACCACTCCCTTCAAATAAAAAAATCCATGTGTCCAAGACCGTTTTTTTTTAATACAAAAAGTGTTTTCAGGAGTAATATTATGAACACATTAACAGTTTGTGATTTAGTGAAATTTTCACTAAGTGACATACATTGTACAATGGAAAATATTCACTTCCATTTATGAACAAAATGTCCCTAAATAAGTTCTTCTATTGCTGAAAAGAGGTAAACGTAACGATGGCGATTATTCTGGTTCTGACATAGTTCTTTTCCAGCGTGTGATTTTTCCTAAGTCTCTTTGAAATCCATCAGTATCTCTCCTAGCTCAACAGTGTAGGGCACTGAGGTGCGCACAGCGCAGATTTCCAGCATGAATATCCTTATGTACTCATTTAAGTACATCAAGGTTTTAAGTTGGCATTCCCAAAAATACAGGTCGCTGCAGCTTCAGCCAAACAGTGCTTTGTTTTATTTTTATACCTTTGTGATTTTTCTCAAAATCCGACAGGCATTTTCAGAGTCTTCTGTTTCAACTGCAGCTACGTTCTCAAGTTGTTGTACCAAGCAGCTCTCCTTACAGGTCACGCAATAAGAAAGCTTTTGTCTGTCATTTTTATAAAAAGGAAATAGGTCTGAAATGCCCAGCTGTCAGGGGGGGGGAAAAAGCCAGTTCAGTATGCTGAAAAAAAAAAGTTTAAAGCTGAAAAACTGTCACTTCTAGGTCCATGGGTCTGACGTTCATCCTAACACAATGACATTACATGTTAAAGGGTGAGTTTTCTAGGCACGTTTTGTCTTTAAGCAGAGTGACCAGTCATTCTTCTCCTTCTGCCAGATCCTCTGGTATGTAGCCAAGTTGGCGTTCTGTACAGAGGTATTTTTTAGGAAAAGGGTTGGGGTTGGCAGGCAACTCAGCTGGACACTCCTGCTGAATTGCACTTTGGACGTGCTGGTGGTCTCAGCTGCACTTGCAGGATTTTACAATCATGTTGGAGAGCTGCTCCACCTTGGGAGTCCGTCCGACATAATAGAGGATAGTCAGGGGCTCCAGATCCTGAGGGACGCAGCAGGGAGAAGGAGAGGCTTCGGGATTCAAAGTGCTGTACAGGCTTATTATCTGTGGGAGGACAGAGAGAGACCAGTGATGCACTGGCAGCAGCTGTTGTAAAAAGCCCATAGAAAACTGACTATGTCTAAAATTCAACTCTGGCTTCACACTGCCTTTCCTTTGTCATCAAAATGTTTGTGTGCCTCAATGTATTTGGAACTGGATGTGATATATTTAATAATTTAATTCACTCGCTGATTCCCCATATTCATTGGACCGGCTGTTGTTCATGAAGTAAAAAAGGTTCTGTCTTGTACTATTGTATTTCTGTCTGTGTAGTTCTGCGAGCAGGGTGTAGCAGAGGAAGACCCCCCCCAAAATTCCCCCAACTGCTTGGACAAAGAGGTGGGGAGACAGCTGCCACATTTATGTGGATTAACTGCCAGGAGGCAATTACCTGACCAGCCATCTCTGAGAGGTGGAAACAAACCACCACAGTGCCTGACAAACCCCACATGAGCGCAGGGCAAACATGCAAACTCCACACAGACAGGAACCCAGGGCAGGAGTCTTAGCCAGTACTCTGGAGTTGTGAAATAGCTGTGCTCACCACAGCGCCCCTCCTGTGGCCTGTAAAGGCTGATAGCTGTGCATTTGTGAAGGTGTTTGTCTCTCACCTGGGCATGTGTAGTGTCCCCACTCCTGAGGTAAGGACAGGGGCCTGAGCAGAAGTTGGCGTAGTAGCCCTTGGGCTCATGGATCCACCTCCAGCCCAGGTCTTCGCGGAAGTCAATGTAGAGGGGGCGCACACAGCAGTTTTCTTCATAATTGCTACAGTTGCAAGAGAAGCAAAAATGTCGGTAAGTTCCGGGTTATTTTTTTGTCTGTGGTCACTCATTTAGGCTAGGTGTCTCTCTTCATTCGAACCCGTCATTGCACGGGTGGGCCAGTTTTCTGTTTTACTTTTGTGAATGTCCCTTAAGCATTGGCATTGCTGCAAACCTTTAAGGTGCTTTCCCAGTGGTCTTAATGCACACAGGACAGCAAGTATGCTGGAAATACCCAAACTCCGGCCTATATCACCCAGATAGCTTACTTAGTGGAGTGGTGCAGTAGTAACCCAAGGGCGTGGTATTCAATACCTTCTGGAAGCAAGAATGGGGGGACTTTAGTCTTAGGACTGCTTAGAGAAACTCTCTTATGTAAGTTACATGGGATATTAAGGTTACACCTCCATTGACACGGACCTTTTCTGTGCCTGGCTGATGTTCTGCGCTCTGGTTTGACGTTGCGTGTGTGCGTGTGTGCGTGTGTGCGTGTGTGCGTGTGTGCGTGTGTGCGTGTGTGCGTGGTGGGGTAGCTCAAACCTGAAGCAGTAGTTGGTGTCCAGGGCCCGCTTGCGGCGGGCAGACGTGGAGTAACTGTCCAGGCGGTGAGGGGGCAGCATCATGAGGATGAGATGAGGGAACAGCTGCTCCTTCTGCCTCCGGAGGCGGCCCAGATCCCAGCGGCCCTGCTCGTCAAACTCGTTCTCCACCCCTGCGGGAAGCAGGAGGGTCAGTCTCCGGTGGCGCCCTTCTCGGGACGGCTACGCTACCCAGCACGGCCACAGCGAGCTGGCAGCAGCCCCTGCTCTTCGCCGGGGCTTTTCGTTTTCCCTGCGCTGTCTGCTCCTATAATCTACACATGATGGCAGAAGCAGCGGGAATCCTGGGAGAGCCGACACACTGAATATCCACGATCCTCTTTTATTCCTTTCCAAGTGTCTTTGAGCCGCCAGCAGCACATTCCTTCTGGCTCAGACTCCAGCCATTCAAATGTCTTCCCTCCTCAAATCCCTGGGCCCATCTCTAAGTGAGATACCATTTGGAAACTCTTCTGATGTAGTGCTTAAGCATTTCAAAAAGTAAAAAAAACGATATTTTATATGCAAGCCTTTCAAACACGATTATGGACCTGCAGTTGGACCATTGGAAGAAAATTTATACCAAGCCTAATTTACTCATTTACAGTATTCATTTAATGCGGTAATGAAATTTCCATTTACTGATAGACTTTAAGATTTATTCTGAGCCATGTGCTTTGTAAGTAAAAAATGAGCTGAGCAGGTACAAAAGAAAGATCTGTTTTTTCACTCACAGCAATCTTTCATTTCACTGTTTAGTAGTCCAGGATAAATTGTTGCACAAAAGGAACAAAATAGTTTATTAAAATAAACTTAAGTCAACATTGGTTTGTAAATGAGAAGCTCAATGGTTTTGGTCTTACTTGAATATAATTTATTTTGAAATAAATACAGTGTTTTAGATTTAGACAAGCAAAATGCTTTGAATCTTAGCCCGTTATTGGTTGACGAAACAAATCCAGCAGTGGAACAGATAAGTGAAGGACTTGGCTTCACAGATTACTGGTTCAGATATGAGCTGTGTCATTAGCTGACTTTGACTTTGACCCACATTTTTCAAATAGCAACTGGCTGCCAGGCTGGGTGAGTTCATGGTTGGACTAGGGAGTCCTCATCTTGCTGCACAACTGTGAACCCTTTGACCTGCTGGGCACCTTTGAGCTTGCACTGGTGACAGGGAGGACTGCACTAAGTTTCCCCTTGTTGTCTAACCCATGATGCACAGGGGCGTGCCCAGCGATAAGGAGCACCTGGTCTGACAGCGAACATACTTCGGAATACACAAGTAACTAAATCTGCCGTTCTTCAGACATAGTGGTAAAATGGGCAGGTCCACAGCTGTCATTTCCAAAAATAATTGAGAGGAATAATAAAAAATAATTAGCAATTCCATACTGAAGGATAAAAGTGAGGACAGACACTAGAACAGGATTAAAAAATGCTAAGCAAACAACTCGGTTTCTTGAGACTGGTAGAAATATGCCATCCATGCATGAATTAATTTATTTTCTTTATTGTTTATTATCCAGAAGGTTTGCTTACCTTTGAACTTGACTTCCAGCAGCTCATTTCTGTTCTCCAGGATGTCGCCGTTGGTGTTAAAGGTGTGGCAGGGACAGTGCACGCTGATCTCCAGGCCCAGATTGGTCTCTGCGGAAACACCAGGACTCGGATTCAGGAATGGAAGAATCCTGGAAGTTTGGCTATTCGTTTCACTTTCCCTTGTTTCAGTTTTCGTCAGTGTAATTGGAATGAGGGCTGTTTGAATGAATAGTCATGGCCTATCCTTCAAAGCACTGGAAACATTGGAGAGGCATGTCACAAGGCCCATTCCAGCATGCTTTTCAAAATTCAGCGGATAGGGTAGTTTCACCTTCAACTCCTTCAATTATGAAAGTCCACAACTAACCTCTGTACATGAGCCACTCTCTGACCGTCTCCGTGACGTCAAAGGATATCCACTCGGGTAACCCCTTTGTCAAGACGTTTTTTCCCGCGATGTAGCGTTGCTTGGCTATATGTTCGTCTGGCCTCAGAATCTGTGGCGGTGACACAAATCGGTGACGTTAGCCTTCAGAATTCACTTCAGACTGTCCCGTTCATCGTGACACTCCTCAATAAAGGAAAGCAGTCCTTTGGAGAGCAGGTTTTGCTTAAAATAAACTGGCCACCAATTTTTCAGTGACTACGTTGTAGGAATGTGCTTTTAATATTAGTGCAGTACTGATGTGCCAAGAGAAACCAGCATGTCCGTGGGGCACTTTGTGAATTTCAGGGACCGCAAACTGAAGGGAAGTTACACCTGTCTGGGCTCACCTGGGACACAGGAGTTTTCATTCGTTGTGACTGAATGAGGCCAAGCATTAAACACCGCTCGGTTCAGAAATGAAATGAGTTGGAAGGTCTTGGTTTAGCTGTCAGTATTCCATATTTTGCTTTTTTGTTCTAAAAAAGGGTCTTGAACCCCAGGCTCCTTTGATGAGGGTCAGGACTACACTGGGGACAGACTCCAGAGTACTGGGGCTGACCGAGTCACTGGACAGCGTTCACATTTCAGCACATCTCCTCTGACTGAAGCGGGCATTTATATGATACACCAGGGACCCCCAGCCCATTCAAACACGTGGAGGCGAGTCCATTTGTGGGTTTGGTAGGTCACTTTTCTGGTGACCTCTCATGTCTTTTTTGAGCTCATGGTAGCAATCTACAGTCCTGACAGAATTATTTTAGTCTGGCTGTCGGTGCTGAAAATGGTATGCAGCTGAGAGCCTGTCGTCTCCAAAGCAGGAAATGATGGAACCTGATCACAGCTCCTTCTCTCATGGGGGATTATGGTGGAAAATAAGAGAAAATTTCCCCCAAAAGACAGGTGCAGACACTTCCGACTTAATATTACCAACATATTTCCTTTCACTTAATTTCACAATTAGGCCTGTATGTCTATGCATGGAAATGTTATATGTTGCATGGAAAGCAACTGATATTTTACAATTGTTTCTTTGCTTTCAATAATAAACAGAACCATACAGCTGCACTTAATTTGTATTTCTTAAAGAAGTGACATTAAAATGATATACACATAGTGCCCGGGTTATGAAACCTATTTCTGGTCTTTCTTCAAACCTCTGATGTGCTTCACTGAAGAATTTTGTGATCCATTTAAACTGCTTTTTTAAGATCCTGCGTTTCGTAAATTTATGGGAAGATTATTCGCCATGCAGAATGTGGACACACCAACAACGGGTATGTCTTTTTCTTTTTTTTACAGAGAAGCATATCAATTCAGAACCGTGCATTCATTGCCTGAAGGAAAAAAAATACATTTTGCCCCTTTAAATATTTTCAGTCTCTCTGAGCTGATTATGATCTGCTCTTTGAAAAGTTGAAAAACATCCCAAGCACAGAGTCTATGCCAAATTTCTGCCGAGTGCATTCCAGGCCATTTCTATTGTGGTAAAGAGACAAGGAAACGGTACCTTTACACACCTGGTAGAGTTCGATTCGCTGCTCGTTTTTCTTGGCGCTGGAGTTGGGGACTCGCAGGGCCCGGAACTCCGCCCTGAACAGGTGGGTAGCGTTCTTCTCCATGGCCGAGACGTTGAAACGGAACACCTTCGAGGTGACGCTCTTGAGGCAGTGCTGGAGGTCATCTGCCAGGCCACAGAGAGAGAACGAGGGCGACAGACCCTGGTTAAGGAGTGCTTTATTTTCTGGGCAGGCGTCTTCCGACCTGAGAGGTCAGGTCAAAAGAGGAATAAAGACTTTTGTAGAAGATTGGAAAGTCAACGCAGACTTCACAAAATGAGGAATTCCTTTACCCCACATTCAATCCTCCTACTCAGTCAATAAATGGGTATTGGTTAGCGGCAAGATGAAGATGTGTTGTGCAGTTATAAGGGCTCAGGGTGACTGTGGAAGGAGTAAACTCGCAGGTTCTTGTAAGCTGTTTGAGGTCCTGTAGGAGTGGTGTGTAATGACAACGTAGGGGTTAATGTCTTTTATGTAATGTTATATTTATTTTTAGTGTAATGTTAATTTGGACTGTTTCTCCATTTTGTGGAAGCCTCTGTGTGTGTAAAACACGGCTGCTGGGAAGCAAAACAAATTGCTGAGAAATCGGACAATAAAGTATTATTGTATCGTAAAAAGAAAACGCTAATGTGAGAGTAAGTTCAGAGTCTTCACGGAATGTATTTCCTCGACTTTGGAAGGGAACTCTTTTTTTTTTCAGCAAGGGAAAAAAAAGTCACAAACTTTTGCCCATCTGTAAATGCTTCGTGGATATGACTCCTAGTTAGCAACAAGTTGAAGTCATAAAATTAAAACCAAATGTCCCAAATCATGGAAGAAACCAGGCCGAGGAAATGAGTGTGTTACTCCCCTCCTCTTCCTTCTCATCAGCAGGTGCCTGAAGAGCCAGGACAGTTTTAATGATGCCCGGGGCCTGAAGCTGGGCCTCCCCGTCAGAGGAGAAACTTCACCGGTGATTGTGCATAATACATCAAGAATCTAGTTAACATTTATATTCGTTAACAAATTGAGATGGCGGATATTCAGCCATGAATGCATCGGCTAGTGGAACTGCCGATATTTTCGTGATGTACAGATAGCCAAAAGAGAATGGAGAAAAAAAAAACTGATGCACTGAGTATACAGTTACTTAAACTGAGAAAGTGAGTCTCACAGAACGACCCCGGAAGAGCCCCCAGATCTCTTCCTTTCACCAAAAAACACACTTTATTCGTTTATTATTTGAACCAGGAGAGCACTCGGCAAATATCACAGAGGACCAGAAACACACTTCCGCAAGCTCAGCTCGCCGTATTCGGGCTGTTCGTTTAGTAGGATCCCGGTTCTGCATTTATCCATGCCCACCTTTTCACGTTTTGGGGCCAGCTCGTTAAGAGAATGTTGAGGGTTCGTCTTGGAAGAAAAAAAAGCGGAAGACAAAAAAAGAGCTTTTATCCCTAGACTTTTTTTTTTTTCGTGAGAGGACCTGAGGTTAATTTAAACTCCATAAGTTCAGCTGCTCACTCCTACCTTAGACATTATCTGATTGTTCCAAGGATTCCTGCCTATTTTTAGGTGACCTTTTCTAGCTTTATCCTTGGCCAAATAACTGAAGCCTGCTCTTTCCAGAGGTCTCAGACAGGCTGATAGGCCCTCTGTCTGTATGTGGAAGGTGGAAAGCCCCACATTTAGAGATTTGAAATTCTAATCAAGTCTTTAGTTTCCTTTTGGATGACCTCATTTTTCCTATTACGGTGGTTTTAGGTGGATTTCACATTATAGTTATTTTTGCCAGGGATCTGAAGGTAATTTGTTCCATGGCTGCGAGTGCTAGGGATTGTTGGGATAATTGGAGTAAAATATAGCGGCTAATTTACTATCTTCTGTTATCAGATCTTTGTTATTGTGAGGCAATCCAGAAAGTTGAGATCAGCAGTTATCTTAACCTGGACACTCCAAAAAAAAAAAGCAGAACACGAAATTTTATTTATGCTGATTTCATTAGTCATACGAGACCCACAATTTGCTTCTTAAAAATTTCCCTGTTTTCCGATGCGTCACGATTTTGTCGTTGAAATAGTTTTCTTCCGCGAGTCTTATTGTTCAGAAAAAAAGATAGTTGTAAAAGAGTGGGTCTTGTGTGACGATTTGTATTTGTAAATTCCTTAATTATGTTTCTGTTTTGCAGGCACAGCTTAACCTGTCCATTGCCTCCACCGTGTAACAGAATAAATGTTTATAAGGGTAGTTTTAGAACTGCCTGATAAAGAGAAGTACAGTATCTTAGGCATGAGACACAATTACTTTGAAAAATGTGCGATTTTTTGATATTGTTAAAATCTGAAATATACCTGCTCATAAATGAACAGATGGGTGTAATCTGGAGCAGGTGGTCCCCAATCGTGGTCCTGAGGAGCCCCACATCTGCTGTTTTGTGTTCCACCTGAGAGCTCAATTTAATAATTGAACCCTTCATGGTCAAAAAAATAGGTTTAATTTGAAGTCTTTTATTGTTTTCAGTACTTAAACATGTAACAGATTGCCTTTTGACTATTGTGTTTCTTCAGTAACTTAAGATCTCCAACTTTTGAGCATAAAACAAAAACCTGGAAGGGTTCCAACCAAGCAACCTGTTGGTTCCATTAAGATTTCATTGGAGTTAGGAGCTCAGCTGCAATGAAGACCAGCAGGTGTGGACGACCAGGACTGGGAACCCCTGTTCCAGAGCTCTAAAGAGTTTCCTAAACAAAAACACATTTCACATGGATTCTCCTGCAGTCCCGAACTGTAGCACTATAACGCCACCATAATATTCCTAGAATTAAAATGACCTTTTTTCCACATTGCCACATTGTTCAACAGGCTGAGTTGCGGAGTGAAACAAGACACTGGGGCAGCAGCACTGGCACTGATCGCTCCCTTAGCAGGTTATCCAGGCTGCAGGCCAAAAGATTGAAGCAATGGCATGATGTGTGCATTTCAAGAATAAGTGTAATCTCGGTTTCGAGAGACTGAAAATAGTTAGTATTCTTTGTAGTTCCCCTAAAATGATCAACACTACCTGAAGTTTGGAACTGACAGTACGCTATTCTGCCCAGCATTCTTTACTGTTGACTATCTTCTACACTGATACTCTTTACTTTTCCTTACTCTTTTTTATGTCCCGTGTTTGACTGTGATGCACAGTGCAGCAGTCTCAAAACAGCTTTAGAAAGAATAGATTATGTGTGGGCTGCTGTATGGACTTGTCCACTGAAGTGGACATGAAGTTGGCCACTTTTAAACTCAAAAGTACCGGAGCCATGGATGATCTCAATCCTCAAAGCCGAAGGAAAAAAAATTCTTTGGGGATTTTCCCAGTCGTTCTACAAGCCTCTCTGAGCACAGAGAGTGCTGAGCTCCAACACTAGTGGAGCTCAGCATTCAGAAGTGACTGCCTGGCAGTGCTGGATCTGTTCTTCAGAGCTTGAGGCTTTTCACAGTACATGACGTTACACCAGTGCTCCAAGAACAAAGACTACTTGGCTGTATAAGTTACTGCAGAGGTAAATTTTAACATCATCTGTTCCTTAAGAATTAAATTGGAAGGGACGTTTTCAAAGTTCTTTTCAATTACTTTATCAGTCTTGCACGTAAGTCATCTGACATCTCTCTGGGTACTTGTTATCCAAAGAAAACACAGCTCATGTTCCGTTTTGTTTTTATGACTCAGTAATGACAAAGAAAAGTGAAAATTACAGTTCACTAACACATTTCTTATTCTCTCTACTACATACACAACTGTCAGCTGTAACCCCCATATCTTATGACAAAGAACTGTGAAACAATCAACAAAATTTACTTTACTTATGCTTTCTATCTAGACTCAAGCAGTTGTTCTTTTCTTAGAGTGCTACTTCCATCTCTAAATGAGGGGGAAATATCAGCTCAAAGGAGAAGGCCCAGTGAGATACTAGTCTCCTCATAGCTCAATGACTTCCCCTTACATCTCTGAATCTCACATATAAATCACTGTCTAAAGAGCTCAGTGCATGAGATAATGTGATGAAGTTATCTGTTGAAGTAAGACAGCTTTTTTCCACTTGATTGAAGGAGAAAAAAAGCTGCTGGAGAAGGCAGGAGAGCTCCGTCTCTGTTTGGCTCTGGATGACATCACCTTTATACTGTTTCATATATCAGAAGAGTGACTGTCTTCTGATCTAATCCACACTAACCCCCTGCTGAATCCATGATTGCTGTATGCTAGATGCATTAAATGATTCTATAGATCAGCAAAAAAAAAGTAATTACTATATACTATAGACTGTTGTCTTCTAACTTTACACCTGTCCTAACATTAAGAACTAGAATACCAGAAAGACCAAGAAAGGCCTACGTTCTGCTCTTTTTGCTCAGAGAAGTGGGTTACGCAGTCTTTTTACACTTTGTCTGACTGGATCACCACCATCAGTAGTTGACAGTATCTGAATGCCACATATCTATGGGAGGACATGTTCACTCTAATGTCATTCAGGCCTGAAATGCTGGAAAACGAAACTTCAGAAGGAGGGAGTCCTCTTTCGGGTTGACATCTTTCTTTTTGACTTTTTCTCCTACTCTATGATGTACGTAACTCTGAATGCAATCTGATTGGTGGGATTCCTGAAAGCTATAGGCAGTAACGACTGTCAGTCAAGCACTTCTATCCTCTGTCTGCTAAGAGGTTCCATTGTTGACTGAGGTTGCTCAATTGGTTGGTTTGGATCAATTTCATTCTGAAATATTAGGCTGAGTCACCAGCCTACAATCACAAGGCACCACCTGCTATGCTATCTTGGGCGTTTATCTAGGTATGTTATTGCATTTAAGTTTCCTTCAACCATGCAAAGGATTTCAGTCCTTAAAGAAGTAGAGCAGAGTCACATCATGATGGAACTGGAGCCTTGCTTGGCTTTTTATCATGATTCTCCTTTCTGCTTCTTTAAGAGGTCTAATCCTAAATTATAAAGCCATCAACAGAATTTGACCAAAAAACTATTTGTGTGCATTTTGATATACTATATGCAATCACATCCAACTACATTATATCCTGTGTGCTTTCTTGAAAAGAGGTTTGTGTTTTTGTCCTCAGCCATTGATGAGTTGTTTGTTCAGATATTATTATTCTGTTCTTTTATCACCTCAGGTTCCAGAGTTTGTCAGATAGTCTGAAGGTCCTCATCTGTTAGTCTAGGTTGACCTCTTCAAGATCTCTGTTAACACAACCTTTCTTCTCTTGTACTTCTCAATAACAGATCTTGCTGTGTTTTTGTGCCTTTATCCCTTGATTTGTGCCTTTTTGTTAGGTAAATATTAATTAACACTTCAACTTGTTTTTCAGTCACAACTTTCCAGGAGATTGGACTGTCTTATTACACGTCCTGTAAGGTAGCAGTTAGCAGTGTGGATAGCCATTTCCCCCTTTATAGTAATCATCAGCATGACATAAATAACTCTGACCAATGAAATGGATTAAATGATAAATTGTAGAATAAACACATTTTAGACATTGATTCTTAGTCTTGTGATTGGATGAAGAACTAGTTCATATTCATACTTATGCAATTGCTCTTCTGTAATCCCACCCTACACTGGAAGGGTGATCATAGTAAAATGGGAGAGAGACAACAATATGTAATTTTTGAGAGTTCATTGGGCAGTGTGCTGCACCTTCATATTTATAATGTATTATATTTAGAAATGAGCCAGCAGTGGAACCATTTCTAAAGTGTTTACAGTCCAGCATGATGTCGGAAGGTGAAGCAGTTCTTGTTGAAAAGGTTAGGTTGTCAAATTAGAGAAATATTTTCAAGAAAAAGTCAAAACATTGGAGCAATATGTCATTAAAAAAAAAAAGACAGTAAGTAGTTCTGGGAGGACAGCCATTCTTACCCTGACCTTCCTGTTGGGGCTAGTAATAGAGGAGGCTTTCTCTCTTTATATGTGCTAGTCAAATAAGAGTTTGGCACAAGAGCAAAGAATCAGAGAAGTACAGCATTGAGCCCGCCATTCAGACTTCTGCTAGGTGCAGTGCTAGAATGTGGAAAAACAAACAGAAACCTGTCAGAGGATGAGTCCTCAAAGCAAGCAAGGGGAAAGGCTGAGCCTTAGTCAGCTGGAGGTCTTCCACAGTTGCAAAACAGCCCCACTAAAAAAAAATCATCAGTGTAAATCTGAAAATATTCCAGCTTGCTCTCTGCTTCCAAGAGAAATGTATGCAAAACTCATTAGTCCATCTCAATGGAATGAAAATATGCATTACAGTATTAACACAGTGTCAGACGTAATGCTTTTTACTAATGAAACAAGCAGTGCTGGATATGAAATTACATAATGTGGATTCAAGAAACGAAAAAGATGAAGTTTCGACAACAGTGATGGCTACCGGAGAACAAAATTCACCTTTGTTCATTTAAAGTGTGCAGTTATGTAATGAGGTTTTCAGATATCAGAACAGACAATAGATTTAGGAATTGTTAATGAAAGTCTTCAGACCACAGGGACTGGAATCTCAAAGCACATTTCCTGTTACCTTTAGAACATTTTCCATCTTTTGGGGGTCTCTCCTGAATATGAGCATGAAGGCACTGATCTGAGCTGCACATTCCATGTCCCCTCTTCTCCCTGCTCAGATATAGTCTCACAACTCTCCTCAGTAGTGAAGCCCACGATTTTGATTTTTTTTTCAGAAGTTGAAACGGAGATAGCGTGAAAAAAAAGGAATTTTGTGCCAGTGCCAAATGAGCACTGCTTCATTTCTGCTTTCAATCAAACACCTGTTGATTTCAAAGGCTAGTATGATGCAATGACGCTGATGCAATGACTCTGACTTCAGTACTGTCTGCTTTCAATTGTTCAACACAAGTTGTTCTTGTCTTTTTTCAGAAAATATTACTCAAATTTTGCACCTCAGCAGAAAGCTTTGATAATCATCACTGGGGAGCAGGTTATTCACATTGTGAGCTGCTGTTGCTGCAGTACCACCAATGGTGCTGTGGCAGTGTTCACTATTGTAGTGCCGAAGATTTAATCTAATAAGAAGTGGAAAAGTACTATGTCCCCTTGCTATTTTGTAAGTAAACACAATTAACCTTTAAAAGTGGTACTACATATTTCTTAGAATAAATGTACAGGCTGAACCTGCAAACATACAAAAATATCCTTTCATTATATACTGTGTATATTTAACTACTTACATTCGTCAAAAACAAAAGACTCGTGTTTGTAATTATTAAGATGACTCCAAATCCAAGAAACATTCCAATGAAATGTGTCAGCTTGTCTGCTTTTGGCGGTAGCAGTAGTCTTGTATCCTGAGTTCACTGAGAATCCTACTTTCAGTGTAATTAATCTCCTGTTTGCTTTTTCTATCAAAGCTCTCTTCAATGGCATGTGAGACACTGCCACGCTCAACTCTGTGCACAAGCTCTCCAGTTTTGAACTTGCAGCCAATACTCTTGTCACAAGGACTGAGGAAACGTTTTTTTTTTCAGCCAAGCTAAAAGGAGGTCCTCACATTAGCCTAATTTGTTAACATTTCCTCTCTCTTTTTACAGCATCCCTGAGATGTATGCATGCCCCTAATTCTTGATGTGCCAACAGTGAAATATGAGGCTGAAGAGTTGATGAGTTAATGGAAACCTGAGAGTGTATGCAGCCACAAACATGTCTGCTACACTACACCTCAGTTCAGCTCAGGTGAGGATTAAGAGGGAAATATTATACCCAGTAACACAAGGCCTTGTCGTCTGTCTTCATTCATGATCCTATTGAGATAAACATGGATTTTCTTGACACTTCAGAAAGATAACCTTCACAACCTGCCTTATAAGCCTTTTAGAAATCTCTGTTCATTAGAAAAAGCCTACAATGTGGCTTAGGTAGATATGAAAGAATATTGGTTAAAGGCAACACAGTCAAACCAGCAGACCCAGTTGATAGCACAGTAGGTCAAAAGGTCAAGAGAACTAGTGAGGGATTAGTGTGAAATATCAAGGAAGATTATTTGTCTATACTGTAGAAAGCCTTATCAACAAAAACTGCCATATCAACTATACAATATGTGTGACAGCGAGCAATATTAATATAATGTATAATGCACTGTGTTTTTGTAGTTAAGTAACTTTCCACATATCATCAAAAGAAAAAAAAAGGTTTTAGTTTGCCAACGAAATATACAGTACTTAGTGGAACGACCACAGAGGAATAGTTGCTGAAAGCTTTAGCATTGTCTTAATAAAATTTGCAGAGGTTTCGTGCTTTCATCTGGAACAGCATTCTATTCTGATTGGAATAACAGAAGCACCGGCGATGAGTGTTTAGGAGGGAACGGAACAGAGCCGCTCTGCTATTGCAATAAGGTACTTGACCCACTCAAATTTTATTTGCAGGGCATCCTCATTCACTAATTTCCACGGGCCAGCAAACAAAAGCAGCACAATATTAACTCTGTGCGCCCGCCAAGAAGCGTTGCTTGTCTGACACAGGAAAGTGCGGTATTTATCCGTCAGCCACTAGCAAAGTGGAAAAGGTCACTTAAAAACATAGTTATACGAAGATAACAACTTCCTAAAGTGTACGCAGTTGCTGATAAGCTTAAAATACAAACTGAGCGCTTACTGTTTTCCGGCGTCCCCTGAATCATGTTGAATTTGTATATTTCTTTGGCGTAGTACTCTGTCTCCGTATTGTCTTGAGCGCAGCTCTGATGCCTGTCTCTGCCCACCTCTTCCAGCAACTCCTTCGTGCTGTTGTACAGCGCCAGCACTTGGAAAGGGACCTGAGTCGGACCTACATCCTTGGGCACGCTCGTCAGTCTTAGCTTACTGAGGATCTGTCCCCGAATCGCCTCGACCCTCTTCTTCTTGATGTTGTGGATATCCACAGTGGTGCAAGTGGACAGTGTCAAAGTCATGGTCACAAAGTTCAAAAGCAGGAAAAACAGAAGTGCTTTACCCAGATACATCTTGGTTGCCTTTTCTTTTTTTTCCCCCCCAAATAGCGGTTATTCAGTCAAAGGACCCAATTCCTCCCGAAAATGACTCCTAACAGGTACATACGTTTCACTGAGGGGTAAAAAAAAAGAGAGATCTGGAATCTTCCTTTAAACTTTTGACACTTTTGTTTACAGATTTGTTTCTCTTGAGTTTATCTCTTTCTTCTCATTCAGTTGTTCATTGAGTCATTTGCCCCCATTGTGTGAAACGACGATTTACAAAGAAGTGGCCGTTCAGCGGAATCCGATTCTGTATTCCAAAAACACCGACTATCATAATTCAGCATTAATCTTACTGTTGGTCATACTTTATCAAACGTCCCCTTTCGTCTTCCTTCATTACTTTTATTAAAAGCACTGGCATCCTATTCGCTCGTCTCCTTGCGGAATCTATTTTTAACAAGTGTTAGATCCAGTTTCCCTGATAAGTTTATTTTTTCATCTCTGGCTGGTACGGACTTCTTATTTCTCCTTTGCCATTCGAACCCCTCTCTCCCTCTGCGTTTGCGACGAGTCTCGGACTCTGAACGGGCTTTTAGGCTCAGAGGATATTTTATATCGAGTTTTTTTCATGACGTTTTGCGGAGGAGGGACCGCAGGTTAAACGCATCTCTCGTGCGCTCCCTCGCTGTCTTTACTGCTTTATCCTGCTCTTTATTATTTTATTTTTTTGTCATTTCTGTTGTGAAATAATGGGGATGTGTAGATGTGGTATGTTTCTAAAATTTCGGCTCCTTTTTTTTTGTCAGGTTAAGGAAATGTCTGTTAATTGGCAGTTAGGGCAGATCCTTCTCTTCAGTCTTACTGACGCGAGATTCAAGATTTTGGGATGAAAGTAGGCTTGAACTAGGTGAAACTGCCGGGGGGAGGTGTTGAATGGCGATTTTCTGACTCTTTGATATCTCTAGAATCGACTTCTATGTGACACCATCTTTTAATGTTTCCAGAGTCAATAGTCAAATATTGTTTGGGTATTAAAGTTGACTTTATAACCCGGTAACACCTATCCCAGATTGTACAAATCATTAAGCGATTGAACCTCTCTGCTATATGCAATCCAGCAAAATCCAAACTTTGGATAGAGTGTAAATGCCTTATAATAAATCTAACTTGTAACCTTTTTAAGGACGTCATTAGCAATACGTTCCATTAACACTCCTTACGTTTTGCAGAAATGAAAGCGCTCCCTCTGGTGGCGACTAGCAACCCTCCCACTCTTATTTTTCTCATTGACATAAACCAGAACTGTGAGCGCCGACGAGTTTCCTGTTTTCTTTAGTTCTTGCCAGTTACCATTTTTTTGTTTAAATAATAATGTCGTTAGAACTGACTTAGTATTTTTTCTACAAAGTATCTTAATACCCGTGAGATATTTTTTAGCATAGTTCCTTTTTGTTTCAATCTGTTTTTTAATTCTAGAAAACGGTTGAAAAAAAGAAAAAGCAAAGTAGTCTCACTTAAAGCAATATTGTTAATAGCTCTATGGGCGGCAAAGCGGCGCTGTGCTGTCTCACAGGGCTCGTTCCCGGTGTTCAGGTCCGGACCTGGGGTGCTGTCTGCATGGAGTTTGTATGTTCTCTCCATGTTCATGTGGGGTTTCCTCCCACAGTCCAAGAACACTCCTGGGTTCTGGGAAAACTGGCTTTGGTTTGTGTCTGTCTGCCCTGTGATAGACTGGCGTCTCAACAGGGAGTACCCTGCCTTGCTCCCATTGCTTGCTGGGATAGGTTCTGTCTCCCTCTTGACCATGATTTGGAAGAAGCAGTTGGTAATGGATGGATGGACGTAGTTCGTAAACTTCATCATCTAGGGCTTTGTTCTGTTTTGCTTAATGAAATACTAAACAGGTACTGTACATTAAGAAGTGAATTTGATATTTTTCCTCATGCTTATGTAGTTTATTAATGTAAGATTAAGAACTTAGGTGTCTCTAAATTGTTTTTATTGTCATCTGTTATATATTACATTCTCATTAACTTACTGAACTTTACTTGCCAAAATATAGTTTAGATAAAAATCAAACTATGAAGAGAAGCAAGTCACTCACAACAGTAAAAAAATGATATTTCAAGATGGTAAAATTGTATTAACTCCCACACGGTCCAATGGCCTGCTCTCGTTTGTAACCCTTCTAATGATTGTAAAAATAAAAGATGAGGACGAGCTACTGACTTCAAGGTAAAATGTATGAACATAAGAATAGAAAGTCTGTTAGTGTCTCCTCTGATCCCTTGCATGTTCTGTATGAAGAATATCAACTAATGCCTTCAAAGAGACAATTTAGAGTCCCTTAATACAGACTTAAGAAAATTAGGAATTCACTTATCCCACATTGAATCAGGCTATTCAATCAATAAAGGAGTATTGGTTTATGGGCAAGAGCAATTAGTAGGTATATGCAAAATGAAGGGGTGTCTTGCAGTTATACAGGCTCAGGAGGGTTGTGGAGGGAGTAAATATACAGGTTCTGGTAAGCTGTGTGAGTTCCTATAGCAAGGATGTATAATGACAATGTTAATGTCTTTTATGTAATGTAATATTTATTTTTAATGTACTGTATAATGGTATTAGTACCATTTATACATTTTCACGTGTCTCTCTGTGTGTAAAACATAGCTGCAAAACAATTTGCTGAGAAATCTGACAATAAAGTACGAATGTATCGTATCATATCTTAAAAGTCACAAATGAGAGGAGGCCATACAGTCCATCTGAATGGTAGTATCTTATCTAATTGGTCTAAGTCAATCGGTCCAGATATCTCATCCAGCTGTTTCTTGAAAGAAACCAGGAAATCTTCTTGTTTGGTAGATTATTCCAGACTCCCACAACCCTTTGGGTGAAGAAAGGCTGGTGGCTGTGCAACACCATTTGCTACTTTCATAGTGTGGAAGTTACAGTGGGTTTTGCCCTGAGATTCCAGCAGACTCCATTTTTAAATGATTATTTTTAAAATGGTGCCGAGCAGCAGAAAGAGGCACAGTGGGTGGTGTTGAGACTGGATGATTAGAGATATCCACACATGGGTTCCTGAAGTATGAAAGTGGAGGGTTAATTCAATTACTGTCTGCCTTTAAATCAATATTGTGTTCATTGCACTGTACTGTAATCTGATGCTATTGCTTTTATCATAGGCCACTCAGATCTGTTCTTCATTTGATGGGAGACTTAGATCTTTTGTTGTCCACAGTTAACTTACAACGCTTTGGGGTTCTTAACCCTAGAAATCATACCACAGGACACTTTACTATGTTATCCTCAGTGCTTGTTCACTTTAGCTCAAGACATTCACTCGTGTCTTGGTGAATTAAGTTCCGCTGCCTCTCATTTTCAGTTTGCGGGCGCTCCCAAAAGCTCTCCTCTACGGGCAGGTGTGACGCGCAAACCTGGACCAAACCATTTCTAGGAGGACAGGGAGGAGTCGGGGGTGACAGGATAACTGATCATTACTTTCATCTCCTGTTGTAAGAGATGTATGTGATTTGCCGTGTCATTAGGTACCATGGAAACTACTCTTAATTCTTGAACTGCAGTGATGAATCTATGGGATTCTGTCCTAAAGTTTCTAACATTCCCTCTTATAAGACACAATTATGACTCTTCTGAACCGATCGTTATTGAAGCAAACCCACCTGGGAGATAAAAGAATGACAAGAGACCGCTGGCATGCAAAACCCTTCTGTAATTTTGCTGATCTGTGAGGGTGGGAATTGAAGATCTCTATATATAGCTTAAACTTTCATTGGCAGTAAAACAATCCTAGGACCCTAAACTGCTGCAACACAATTGACTTAGAAAAATAAACCCCATGTTCCTATTAGATGCCATGAAGTCACCACACTGTCAAGCCATATTTATATATTTTAATGGAAACCGTGCAGCGTTCACTCACTTTGATCACAGGAGCTTACTGTGTGACTTCAATTCATGGCTGGGCTTGGCCTAATTATGTTTTTTTAAAACATTTTTTACAAATATAATCAAAGAATTTAGAAAGTTCATAATAAAACAGTAGCAGAAGTTCAACTTTTTGCTATTAATAATTTTTGTCTTGGTATTTTGATAGGTTTGAATTTCTGATTGATTTAAAAAGGCAGCTGAGCGCAAAAAAAAAAAAAAAATGACTGGGGAGGAAACTGTCCCAGGAAATAATGACGATTATTTTTCTGCTCATCTCAATCCAGGCACTGAAAATGCGCCGTTACTGAACCGCAGGGATGCTGTCATTACTTGAGCCAGTCTTACCATAGTTGTATAGATGACGTCATTGTATCACCCAGGCTGCCAAAGGAAAGACTTTTCCTAACAATTGTGGCAAAACATTTTCCCAAAACAAGTACTGTTGACGAAAATAATTGCATATATGATTCAGGATCTCCTGTAACAGATATCACATACTATATAATTAGGCGCGCATGTCTGTTTCAGTCAACTCGAAAGTGCGTTAAATGACGATGAATGTAATACATGTACTAAGACTTTTAAAAATACCCAGCTTGTGACCATAGGTAATGCAATGTACTTCTGTATGATTTTCACCAAATTCCTCTTCAAAGCAGTATGAAATAAACCTGGCGCAGAACTCACGATCGTGCAAAACAGGTTACTTCTATTGGGAATATAGTATAACTCTGTGTGTTTTAATACGTGTTGTCTCTTTTCTATAAATATAGTTTGTGGTTGCGTTCCGCTAGACCCAATTTCTTTCGGAGTCTGTGGCATATTTTCTGCTATTTCAATATTTAGATCATGCATTAACAGTCCCTGGGCATGGAGTCAGAAAGTATATTAAGGGGTGTCTCCATGGAAACTGTTGCCACGGGACGCTGGCATTGGTCTCCAGGAAGTTGTTGAGATTGTCAACACGGAGATTAAAGATGGAGGATAGTCTGGAACTGGCGGAAAACGGTGCTAAAAAGAATGTAAGTAGGTTTTATTTCACTTTTTCACGTATAATTTAAGAAGTATTCTATCTGCTTAACAATATAAATACCGTAACGAAATGCGTAAATAACGTGAATAATTGCTTTTTTGTAATAATCCCGTATTAGAATACTGTGCGACAGTTAGCATCAGAACAGTAGAATAAGAATCAAATTCGAGATGAAACACAGTTTACAGAAAGAAAATGACATGTGCTTCAGCTGCGTACATTTTTAGTCTGAATAATTTGTATGCATTGCAGAAAAACGCGTAAGCAGAACTGGGTAAGCAGATAAATACTGGAACGTTCATTGCGAAACAACGTTATTGTTATCTGGCTTCACAAAATAGCTTTTTGTAGTTACTCATGATCTCCTTGAGGTGTGAAAATATCACAGACTTAATATGTGATGTTGATGTTTTGAGCCTTAATATTTGACGACTAGCAAGGTATACTGTAGTAATAAAATATCTTAAGGCCCACTGACATTTTTGGTTACTTCTCCCTTTGCTGCTATTTTGCTGGTCACTGATACATTAAAGAACATGAATATAACGTAACTAATATCACACAATGCCAAAGCAGATACTCATTCTATAACAGCAAGATACATAAGTTAGCTTCTTGTGCTTGTGAACTTTTTTTCTAGGCTGCTAAATCAGGGCGAAGAGCAAGGCAGTCAGTGGAGCAGATGTCAGACGAATCTCGACGCCTGAAGAAAAACTCTTCTTCAACTTCAGTGGGCGAGGTGAGGAATCAGCCATAGTAGACAGCTGGTCTGCAGTCCAGAAAAACATGTTTTTGTTAAAAAAATGAAATACTGTTGTAATTCTTATAATTGTTTTTTTTTGTCTGTTTTCCCCCTTTTTGTCTCTTGCATTACTGGATATCTTTAAAATTGTTCAGGATGAAGAAGGGGAGAAGGAGGTGGGATATAAAGTATGATTTGCATATACATAGGGATTTAAGATTTCATGATTTCAGTAAAACCTCAACCCAGTGAAAGCAAACAAAACATTGGTTGGTCATTTATTTATCAGCTCTACAGGCTCATATGTGATGTGGTATTTAGCCCTGCTGCCTCATGATGGGTCTTGGGTTAGATTCCAGCCTTGAGAGCCTTCTGTACAGAGATGACTTGTTCTTGTCTAAATTCATGTGAGTTTTCTCCAGGTCCTCTGGCTTCTTCCCCCCTCTCATGGCATGCTAGTTAAGTTAATTGGTGACTAATTTTTGGATTTGTGTGTGTTTCCTGTACTGGACTGCCCGCTTAGGGTATTCCATCTTGCACCTTATGCTACCCAGATAGACTCCAGATTGCCACAAGCCTTACTAGGAATAATCAGCTGTCTGATACTAAATTCATATTTTCATATAGTTTTTTGCTTCACCAGAGTCCAATGTACTAGTATTTTACATTTTAAAAGCAAATAATATTTTCCAAATTGTATCCTAAACTTTGTTGAAATTAGTGATTAGCTGAAATATGGGTAAATAAACAGAAGCTTTATTGATTATTAATGCTTACAAATTCTTGGGGGTAAATACCACGATCCTTACATTCAAAGATAACAACAGTGGGCTTCAACTGGAAACCTGAATGACTTAAAACATCCTTTGAGTTTTAAGGTTGATCAGATATTAAAAGGCCTGATCTTAAGCTTATCCCTGATGCTCATGCGCACAATCAACATCATAATGAATGAGCATGTGAGCTATTCTAGTTGTAGTCTGAGTTGGAATTTGACCTGTAGAATGCATAACTACAAGCTTCTTCTAGGACAGTTCGTTTTTCTCTTATGAAAAGAAACACAGAGATGTAAACATCAAAACAAATGTATTGCACCGATGCACTTTACAGTAGCCAAACACATTTTAAACAAAAATCTTGTTACTCCAGTAATTTATGTAATGTGCAAAACTCTTTAACATATCTTTTGTGTTTGTTTGCAGCAGGATTCTGATCAGGTACTTGTGTTCACGTTCTTGCTGTGCTAGTAGAGAATTGTAAAAACCTTTAGCTGTCTTTACAGTAGGGGGTGATTTTCTTTGGCCCTGTGGCTATTTTGCTGTGTTTGATCTGATGCCCTGTGCATGATTGGCTTTTTCAAGGAAGTTTTACCTTCATTTTCACTAGCTGAACCATGGATCTGTAATCTTAATTATTTTACTCTATGCGCCGTGTACATTGTACTTACATGTACATATGATTTGTAAATTACATCAAAATGGTTCTTTTTATTTCAGTGATGGATTCAAATGAAAATCCAGTCCCTTTTCTTTTTGCACTGTAGGCTTTCAGTGGCTTTCATGAACAATGTACACTTAGTTCTTTTGATCTTGCAAATAGTCTCAAACCTGTCAAGCTATTACACAGGAAAGTGTGGGGCCAAATGTCTGCATCTTTGTTGTGTCAAACGTTTTTGTCTTTATTTATATTTGACATTGCTCATGGAGCTGTCTCTTATTGACTCTAAGAAAATAATTACACGCTTAATTGCTTTTAAGTAAAATTGGAAATGACATATGACAAAGTCATTTGTGTTTTTTTTCTGAACATTGGCATTTGTGGAGTTGTCCCCAAGAGTGGTAAGCTGTAAGCAAGCCAAATTCCCCAACAAGGAATTCCAGCAATGTTTTTGCAGTAATCTTCCCAAATTAGGCCAACTTCCCTAGTGTAACATCGGGATTCTCGCGCCCTCTGCGACCCAGCTTCCACATGAAATACATTTTTCCGAGGTGTCGTGCGACCGGTCGGTTTATTTTCAGTCTAGATATTTTATCGGTCAGTGAATTTTTTTCCTCCTTCTTCCTCCTTAAAATGTTTCCACTGATTGGTCACATTTTTCAGCCTTTTTTGTAGTTTTTAGATCAATTTGAACTGTGTGTGAACTCTGATAATGGGTGGTTTGTATTTAGCTATAAAATATTTTATTTATTAAGATACATAGCTTTCTAAATTTATGTTCATATATGGCTATACACTTTTCTAGATATCACATTTTTTTAAATTAATGGTTTAATACCTAACCGATAAAGTCATTGCTGAGGCAACCTTGATAAGTCTTTTAATTCTGACTCCATAATGACATTTAGAAATATATATATCACTCAGAAACAAGGCTTTTTTCAAGGTAAAATCTGAAGTACTTATTCTACTTTCTAACGTTGTATTAACATTCTAATCCTATGGGTACTTACCCTCCTCTTATTCATCTATTGACAATCTTTAGATGAGAGACCATGATGAGGACTTCTGACAACAGAATGATCAATACACAATTATTACTTCTGACCCTATGCAAAAGAGCTTTTCAGACATGACTTTTGAATGTATGCTGCCTTTTCGCAAATATACCATTCTTAAAGGAATGTCTTATGGGGTAATGTTTTTAATTCTGTACCGCTGAGATCTTTTTAAAGGATTACCAATAGATTTTCCTATCAAAGTATAAAGCAGTATTTACCCAGAGGAGTCTTTCTTTATTGATAAACCACCACTTTTATCATTAATTTAGCCTATCTTGTCCTTGTCAAAATCCCACTTTTCACTTATTGCATGAAAGTACTTGGTACATCTTGAATATTCTATCTTTATGAAAACAAGAAAGATCTTAAAAAGAATTTGATGCTGCATTATTTTGTTTGGTGAAAGTGAGCAGGGTGTTAAAGGGTATTTATCACTGAATGATGGAAATCCTTAAAAATCCTATGTCCCTTGCAGTCCCAATTTGGTAATGAGAATTTTTTCGATGTTATTATTTTTTCTTGTTTCTTCAAGTGTGCTCTGGAATTCTTTCATTCATGTTTGTCTCGGTGGTATGGTCATAATGCCGTGATCTCAGCTCATTTGTGCCCTGTGCTATTTTCAGCCCTAAAGAATGAGAGAGAGTAATTTTTCCCTAAGCTTAGCCTCTGGCAGCCCTCTATGCAGTTCCCACACTCAATTTTACACTCGTTTTAGTAAGTGTGTATCTTTTTAGGGAGATATTGGCTTGGGAATAGGGTGAAAGCAATTGATGAGCAGTTAGTGATGTGCATAGTTTTGCCTTTATTTAGAGTTTGCTTAATTTTTTTTTGCAATGTTTTCCTGACATATATGGTAGGTATTCATGTAGAATTTCCTTAAGAGTAAATATGCTCACACGTCATATCATTTCTTCCATAGCCCTACAATACCAACCCTTGTGGTTCCCCTAAAGGCAATGGAAATTCTTGCCTGCCAGCGGGAGACGGCTTTGGATGAGGTGTTTCATATTTACAGGATCGTTGTGGGTCTCTGTCGATTTCTGCTTTTACGTCTTACCTTTAACATCACAGCGCTGCGTTACATTTTAAATTTGGGTCCACATAAATCTGAATGGCATCTACGTGTTGTTTTTTTCCCCACTCAGTCTGTGGTGAATTTGTTGTGTGTAAATTCCAAGACGTGAATGAAATAGTCAAGGCTGCCACACCCAGTTGTGTAAGGGTATTATATAGATGTGTCGTATTTTGACACTTGTCCCATGATACTTTATCCCAAATTCTTATCGTTCTGCTTGTTTTGTTCTCACTTGTGCCCCTCCAGGGACCACCACCGAAACCCCCCCGGCGACAAGGAGGATGGGCAGACGAAACACCTGGCTCTGCCAAGTGAGTACCACCCCTTTCTGGCGGTAAACCATGTGTCTGCTCATGGCGTCTGCTGAGATGCTCCAAGATATTTTACATCTGGTGCAGAGTCCACTGCACCCAAGGGTGTGGTCCGGCATCAGATTATAGTAGTTATAATCTGATTCAAAAACCAAAGCCTTGATTTGGTTAACATTTTTTGACAAAGATGTGTTTGGGGGGCGGGGTTGTAATGGTACGGTGTTTGTTGGGAAGCCCTGGAAAAGAAGGAGTCAAATATTTTCTGTGTTATTTCTTTTGGTAAATATGGTATTGTTCACTGTGCACATTTTTTTCCAGTGTCCCCTTTTTGTGACATTCTTGATCTTTAGAAATTCTCATCTTTATTTTCTCTGCCCCTTGAATCTTCCAAGTTTTTTAAGAAAAGTGCAGCTGGCCCATACTTTTGATAGTGTACCATTAACATGAGTTAAAAGTGTAGCCTTTTATATACACATTTAATTTTCAATAAAAATAACTGCCTCGTGCCTAAACAAACTCTTCCTTTTCCAAGGCAGCAGTGTGGACTAGTGTTTAGGGCTGTGGATTCTGGCCCGGCAGGTTGTGGGCTCAGATCTCATGTGGGCGGTTGCAGTTGTACTGTACCCTTAAGCAAGGTACAGTACTTCACTCAGATTGCCCCAGTAAACGTCCTTCTCAATCGACTTGTCTAAATAAAAAGTGTACATATTTAAAAAAGATATTAAATTAGTTAAGTTTAGTTTACTTCCTACTCATTTTAATGTATTGTTGTTTTGTTCTTGATTAAGTACAAGTAGAATGGGAGCTTGTCATACAAAGGCTAAGATAACCTATGGTTTTAAAGTTCTTGCTCTCTATTTAAGTGTTGTCTAGCTCCTTGTATCATCCTATTGATGCAAGCTGTGTTTTATTTATCATTTGACATTTGCATACATTTCTTGGGCGGGAGCCTCGATGATGCTCAAACTAAGACATCAAAATCTATGCTGACTCAACAGGGTTTATTTGCAAGGTTTTCTGCGCCACTGGTGTAGGTAAAGAGGCTAGCAAACTCAATCTATCTCATGTAAAAAGGTCGAGGTGTCACTCTTTCGAGCTATTCTAACTCATGGCTTCTTGGCTGCGAAAGAAAAAAAGGTGTTAAGGCCTGTTCAGGCATTGATCCTTTTTGAAACAAGGTAAGTAATGGTCCCTGTGGAACCCCCAAGGACTTTTCCGCTCAATGTCACACATCACTCTCAATCATCGCCGCCCTCCTCCTGTTAATCCCAGTGAAGAAACGCCAGGATTTACCAATCTATCACTCCTAATTGACACTAAATGATCTGTCAGTTTATTGATGAACCTTTGGAGCTGGGTTGTCACAATATATTTTATCCCTAACAACTTTTTCTAGACAGTTTTACCATGTCCATCTTTTCTTGTTACATGAGTCTTAATCAAGAGCTCATAATGTGTGTTTAAACGTCCTCTTGTCTCGAAGAGTGACGCGTGTCAAGGGCAACAAGATGGCAGACGTTCTCCTCTGGCTGTTTTTTTAAATCTTAGAATTTTAGGGAGACCAGGAGGCAAGGAAAAATGATGACAAAAAAAAAAGTTAGTTTTGTTTCCTTTGGTTTGGAGGACAGGAAGGAACGATACTAGAGCAGGAAGACAATCCGCCTCAAATAAATAAATCTTCCTGAACGCTTATCTCTGTGAAACCACATTCTTTTATTTCCATAATGACGATAATATTGTCATCTGGAAGTGGCTCAGTGAAAAGTTGCTGGTCGGTTTCTTGAGCTGACACTCGACAGCGGACTGTGTTCCAGGGTCACCTCAGGAACGAGTGGCATGCTGAAGCAGAGTCGACAAGATCTGCCGCCTCTCTCCCCCTGGAGTGCTGCTGCTTGCTCTGCTGCCAGACTTGGCCGTCTGCTCATGCCAGTGGCTCATGCAGAGTTCTGAGCATTCAACAGAAATGGCTCAGGAAGCCATGACCTCCTGGAAAGAATGGTCAGGACAAATGCAGCAGTGCTTCCCAGCTACTGTATATTCAAATATTCAAAGAAACGGCCAGATGAGGTGCTCAGATCAATTAGCTGTTATAAACCATATGAGCTATGGCCTCCCTTCTGATGTTCTTATGCATCCTGGATAGCTAGAAACTAGAATACAGTAGGTGAAGAAATAGCCAATAGGTGAGACAGGTGATTATCTGAAATTCATCTGTCTGTAAGCCCTTTTATACATTTTGGCCAGTTGTACTTTTCCTTCTGTTGACAAACTTTTGTTTTTCAAGTTGTATGAAATGTATGCATTCATTATTATTATTATTAACTTAAAAAATATGCATTTATATCACACAGTCGGCCAGATTTGGTGCTAACATATTTCTTAACCACAGCTTGTAAGGCTAATGTTTTAATGCCTTCCAGAGAATAGTGCTCATGGATTCATGATGGCTCCATGGATTTTGGGAACTGACTAAAGAGCTTGGATACCTTAGTAAAATCTGTGCATTTCCGTAGCCTGAAGTAGAAATCTGACCTACATGTAGAAAGAGGGTTCTTTGGGATTGCTGTACCTTGGAAGGAAAATGAGAGGAAGAGAAAGTCGGAGAGCGGAGAAAAAGGAGAAATTAATTAACAAGCTGAAAAATTGGCATCTCATTAGACTGCTACATTATAGACCATTGCAATGAAAAAAAAAACTGATTCTGAGGAGTTAAATTTGAAATGAGAGTCGATTTATTTATTACAGATGCCTTAGTTGTGACAAGAAAAAATGCAGGGTCTTAACCAGCTGAAAGTCATTATCTTGATGTGCATTTACTTTCTGTTCACAAGCATTTTAATTTTGTATGTCATTGGAGATGTGTAATGCAAATAACATTGTAAAAACAATTATAATGGTGAGATATAGCTATTTAAAATATAAAGTGATGTGATTACATTTCAGGATGTTGTTTGTTAATGTTTCAAGTGATGTCATTTAAGGAGTTGTCATTCAGGAGCACAGATGACTAAAACACTTTCATGTGCTATACTTACATGAAAAACAGTATATTGTGCATTTAGTTTCCTAATTTTCTTCAAAAGGTATACAAGTTGATTTGATCACCCATCTCAAATGGTAATATATGTATATACTATATATTCAAAGTCCTGCAGATTTTTGATAATTTACTATTTAAAATCCAGTCTATGTTAATTTTTTATTTTCACTGATAGAGGTTGACCCTTTTTAACTTTTTCAGTTTAATCAATATTATTCTTTGTTATTAATAGACTATTAAAAAAAATTGATTTAGAACCTGATTCTACTATAATTCTATGCTATTCGTGCTATAATTCTGGGAATTTTTTTAATTCCTGAGTTTAAAAAAAAATAGCCAGTCCTAAATACAAGCCAATACTAAATACAAAATGGTACTGTAATGCTGTTATTTCTGAATAGGGCAGAACTGACATTTTCTCTGCATGATCAGCAGGTGGCACTACATAATAAGCAGAGAGACCAGCATAAAGGGAATGAATGATTGAGCTGTTCTGTTGAAGAGACCAGTTTTATAACTAACAACCGAAAACAAATACAAATTGACTTTGGTTATGATTAACGCTGGTAGCCAATGTTATAAATTCATGTTTGTACATTTCTTTTCATGTTTAAGAGTACTCTGTTTTAATGAGAAATATCCAAAAACCCCATGACATGCAGTGTAAATGTCTTAAGTCTATAAACCTAACCAACTAACCTTTTTTTGTTTGGATTTAGTTTGGAAATTGAAATAAGACATCAGTGCTGTTTATAGATTCTATGCATTGAGCCATTGTAAAACATTATGCAACACTTAACATTTGTGCTTAGTTTTTCCCCAATTATGATGGCATTCCACTGTTCTGAACAGTACAGTCATTGTATTTTGAAGGTGGCAAGAGCTTTGATATATTCAGTGAAGGTTTCAAAGCACTACAGTCCTCATTTAATTTTTTTTTACACAGTAGTGTATATGCACATTAATAAAGAATTAAAAAAAAGTCAGACCTGTTCCTTGATCACTGGTCACTATCCCAATGTTTTCACCTCTTAGAAAGAGTCATTTTTATTTGATCTGTCAGTCCACTCTTTAGGGATGTATTTACCACAGTCAGAAACTAAAATGTTAGAACATCCCTATTTTTAAGACTTAGGGTAGGGAAAACAAAAGACACAATTATTTTCAAGTTGTGAAGAACTTCTGTTATGTTCATTCTACTTCAGTTCACAAGAAAAGATACAGTAGTGAGCTTAAGCTGAATGTATTAAATGAATGTATTAAGATACAAAATGCAATGATGCAGTGTTCAAGGTGTAATGGTCAGGCTGAGCTATGCTAATGGAATTGGTTCCTAAAATAGATCAGGAGACTGCTGATAGACCAGAGGAGGAAACGTAGCAATTGGCAGTAATATCAAGAGGGACTTGAAGTCTGTGGTCTTTAAAATGATTTGAAATAGTACTCAGAATAATTTGCTGGCACTATATTATGCACAAAAAGTATAAAATCAAGCCTGGCAAGATCCATGGAAAAACCTGCATTAATTCATACACGCACTGCTGTGGACTGTAAAAATAATAATAATGTATATGGAATTTACAGTAGTTGAGAAAGCAATCCTGTCAACATAATCAATCAATGTGTGTTGTTACTGATATTCTCCCTTTTAGCTTTTCAACTGAGTGTTTAATTTAATTCTACATTTACTATGAGACCACTGTTTTTCACAGCCAGTTAGATGGATCTTACTTTGTATTACAAAGTACAGTCCACTTCAGGGAAGTAATTAAATAAATCAGGTTGAAAGAGATGTGGTATTCAGAGTTTTTTTCAAATATTAAAAAGTCATTCTTTGCTTGTATATTTCTTTGTGTTGATCACAAATGATAAGGGTGTTATAAAGGTAACAGTCATTACATTAGCCTTTCAAACTGCTGTTTCAGCAACCTTCTGTTTTACATCAGTAATATTTCTGGGGTGATGCAGAATTAGCCCAGTGGGGCTTTTTTATTAAGGGACTGAAAAGGCTTAATCAAGCTCATTCTAAAGATGATGTTAATTTCACTTGCCTTATCCCCTTTTTTTAGGTCTGGGAGAAGACCAGCAGCAGAGGAGGTGGAAGAGTGAGTTTTCATACTATATGTTTCTTTTCTAAGAAGTGATGCATCTGATGTAATTTGTGCTAGGTTCAGAATGTGAATAATGGATAAAAAAGACTGAACGTTCCATACATTTAATTAGAATTAAAATCTTTTTGTGGAAAGATGAGTGTTGCCCAAGTTCTGGTTATTTTGTTCTGTATGAATGGAGTTGTTTCCAATTACAATTTCATACTGAAGAGTTTATGTCTTAAGTAATGATATTGTTGAAATTATGAATTAGTGCCTAGAAATTAAAATTTAAGGGAAAAAGATGAAAGGGAACATCATAGCATGTTTTGTTCATCTGTAATTCGTCTGCTTTTAAGACTGTAATGTAAAATTGGAATGTTCTTCATCAAAATTACGCTTATTTATTTTGCAAACCGTTCCTAGAGCCATTAAGACATCTTGTTGAGACTACTCCTACTGATTAAATTATTAGTTCTTAAAAATATAATTATACAACTTGCAGAGTAAACAGAAATTGCCCTCTGTACAGTGAGCCTTGCATGAAAGAGCCAATGATACTATCGAATGCCAGGGAGTTTGGCAGCCATGATCCTCTGAGCCTGTAGAAAAAGAGAATGCCTGCAAATATTAAGTGAGCTTAATATCAAACCATCTGCAGCTTCACTTAGCTGGAAAAGGACCCAACATCAAAGTAATCCTCATCAGAAATACTCCCAATGATGACCTCACCGTTAGGCCAGATTGAAAGTATTAAATAATTCATTTTCTGTACTTCCTGTTTCTGCAGTAGACGCTTGAGACCACAAACCCCCGAGGGCTCGGATGATGAAGGAGGTGAGAGAGACTTGGAAACGTTCTTTTGCACTTCCCATGAGGCAGACGGGATACCTGCAGTCACAGACATTGTGGTAGCATGGAATTTATTTAATAGCGTCAAAAGCATTTATAGCAACTTAAAGACAACTGATGATGTTAAGTAACAAGTTAGTAGGTTGAATCTAAAATCAGGTTTTAGAAAATCTCATTTAAGTAAAATGTTTTTGAAAAATAATCCAGTCTTTCAAGTGTTACTGTAAAAACCTGTGTAAAAATGCCAAATGTTTTAAAATCGTGTGGCTTAAATCTCTTTCTTAGGAATATTATACAGCACTAGAATGTTTATCAAGAATTGTACGTTTGCGTTTCTGGTAGCACTCAGACTTTGATAAGCTTGATCGTAGGTTTTTTAAGAAAAACAGATCTATATGAAAACTTAAGAATTAAATTAAATTTTCACTATCTTTTGGTACTCTTCACATAAGAAGGAATTTGAAACATGAAAAATGAAATATTGTCAGAAAAATGCTTTGAACGCTGTCCTGTCTTTTTAGTTTCTTTATACAAATGGTTCTTCTTTCAACATCTGAATACTCAGTCTTCAGTTGTATGACTAGGTTTTTTATAGTACTTCTCTGCTAAATGCCCCCCTTCGGTATTTTGAATTTTCTAATAGACGCATGTGGGTTCATTTTTTTTAAGTGACATTTTACTCTTACCGTTTTAACATTTTTTCTTCTGTTATGAGTAAGGGTTCAAATGGGCAAGGTCTTTGCATATTGTCTAAATTCAATTAGCTGTTCAGACATTAATACATTTTAATAACTTCTAGGCAGCAGTTGTGGATGAGGCAGCAAGAGTGATTTATTCATTTTTTAAAATGTTTAATATGTTAGGATTTACCAAATTCAGTGACGAAATCCACTCTGTTTTCCAAGAGGCTGCATGGTGACTAAGTCTGTCATGTAACAGAGTTCTATACCTCGGGGCTTGGTGGTCCTCATCAAAAACATTGTGAGGACAGAAGAAATTTGAACAAACCAGAGCCAGAGATAATTGTTCAATTTTTCAGCCCTCAGTAGCTGGGGAAATACTGTTGAAATTGTTAGAGCATTCTCTTTAAAACTTCACCCACAGAGCGTACGTTCTGTTTGCACACACTGTTCTTTTGTTTTTATTACAATGTCATATACATATCAATGCTGTTTTTCTCAGGCAAGTGTTGTGGAAAAAGGAGTCATATTTTAAAAGATATTTAGCTGAGATTGGAGTATTGAAGTATTGAAGCAAAATAAAACAGAAACAGCACAGTTAAGATCACTTTTTTTGGCCATATACAATTTCTTGTATTAGGAATTTGTCTTTCGCATACCCCAACTTGCTCTCCATGAGACACACAGCCACACAGACAGGGAGAGAAGCTTGGGGTCAGAGCGCAGGGTCAGCCATTTATACAACGCCCCTGGAGCAGTTGGGGTTAAGGGCCTTGCTCAGGGGCCCAACGGAGTAGGATTCCCCTGCCGGCCGCAGGATACGAACTGATAACCTTCCAGCCCAGGCGCAGATCCTTACCCACAGAGCCACTGCACTTATTATATCATTATGTAAAAACACAACCCATTAATATTAGTATACATTAAGGAAAGTAAAACCAGTGTTTTCACAGCATCATTTACTTAATTTCACAGGTGGTTTTACTGTTTTATCAGTGTTAAAAAGATCCCACAGATATTTGTCACCCAGTGCTACATTGTTTGACTTTGTAATTTTATAAAATATTTAGTACAGGTTATAAACAGGCCACACTAAGCGGATAGACTTGGCAAAGCCCCAGATCGTACATAGAGTTTGTCTGTCTGTCCACTAAGAATCATATTTCAAAACAGAGGCACTACTGGCTTATTTTGTGAAATCTACTGGTTTGTTTTTTAATTGGTTTAGAAGGTAGCAAAGCTTTTATGTGAGTGAAACTTAAAAGATGATTACAGCGCAGAGGAGCCCTCTTTATACAGTGCCAGAGGCATGGACTTTGGAAATTGCAGCAGTCGAGGGTTAGTGAGATAGCTATACAGATCTTGATTATTTTATCGTCCCCCAGGACCTCTGGCTGACACAAGAGAAAGTGGCAGCTGGGCGCCCTCATCCATCATGTGCCAATCAGATTTCAAAAGACCACGATCAAAATGGACGGCTGACAAAACTGTTTGTCTCGCCAAGCATCTCTCCTTTTTCCCCTTTTTCTAAAACATGTTCCCAACTTCAATTTAGCATGTGGCACTCTTATGAATTGCGGTTTTTATTTGAAGACTTCTAAAGGTTATGCAATATACAGTATATTACAAAATTCTGTGGTAAGAAAATATTGTGAAATAAGCTTCACAGCACGCAAAATTCCTTAATATCTCTTTTTATAAAGGTTAGCCCACTTTCCATGATCAGTAGCGTGAAAATTTTGAAAAGTGTTTTGAAGGCTTTCCGATATTTGTAGGTTAAGCAGGATATGCAGTACACATTCTGAACAAATTATTGTATTTCATGTTTTGTGTGGGTTACGTTTTGAATTGGCCGCTATTGCATAATTATTATCGTTGTGGTTATTGTGGTTGCGACTAGACAAAGCAACCTTGACAGTTACACAAGTGGAAAATAAATGTTCAATGCTGGCTGTGAATGATATGAGGTGATTGCTTTTGAAAACTGATGAAGTTGCGCTTTCCTTCAGAGGGAGGGGGTTGTGTGCACTTTCTATTAATCCTCTTGACCTCATCTAATAGGATGAATTCAAAGCACACTTTACTTGAAGCGTTTTTCCTCTTTACTTAGTAACAATGTATGCTTATATGGAACTTACCTAATGTTGGGTTACCCTTAGCACCAAGAAAAATTCTGTTGATTGTGCATTATTGTCAGGATCATAATGCTAAACCTCCAAGTCGTTTCTCTTCAGATGGAAAAAACAGCCTATTAAAGTATTTGATAAGATCTAGATGCTTTAGCTTTTTGATGTCATTGTGCTAAGACCATTAAATTTGATTGGGGGTCCAGGGGGGCTCGAATTTGCTGAATGCTGTGCTTTCTAAATGAGAGGACAAAGTGTCAGAGGAATTCATGAATATGAAATAGCAGTGCCCGCATTTATTTTGATTTTGGAAACACAGATGAATCTTGTCATTTACTAACCAAGCTCAGTTTCTTTATTTTTTTTAATGAAGAAAGTTATATTTTTTTTTCAAGACAGCTTCTTGTAATTACCTGCCGTAGCCTGATGGTTTCGTCTTGATTTTAAGTACAACTCAGTGTTCAAGTTAATTCCTTGAAAGTTCCTATGCTTACATTCAGAGAATAAACATTTTCTCAGGCAGACTGTTATTTGGCAGAACACATAAGGAGGAAGGTAGCCGGTGTTGATTTTATGTGGGCTTGCGATCACCATATACAGTATGCTAGTATTATGACAACTGCCTCCATATTGACTCAAATTAATGTACCGCACTGGCAGATTGCCACCCTTAATTGACTGAACTACTCTACAATGAGACTACAGTACCATTAGATGCTTTTTTATGATTCTGTAACCAGGCTTAGTAACAATATGGCTCAATAAGTTGTTTTCATCTGATGTCTTATTTGTAAGTAATAAAATAGTCTTGCGCAATAGCTGAGAACAAAACTTTTTTTACAAGAAAAGTTGATACATGTTCCATTACTTTTGGGTTATTCTAGTCATTTTCTGAGTGGGTGTGCCATTGTGGTAGGAAGCTAAAATTACAAATGTTCATGCCTCTCGTTCCATTTTCCAGGTCATGGAAGATTTTGAACTGGGATGTTAGGGAAATATGGCATCATTTCTAGCTGTCATTTACCAGAAAAGCATTTGTTTTAGGCAGCTCTAAAGCTCTTGAATTTAAACAAAGATTAAATGCAGACCATGATCAGTCAGCTGAGATGTCTCCATACTGGGTGAGCACGTGTCCCCCAAGAATTTGGATCACTACAGCTGGAGTGCTTTTAGCCCCCTCATTCAGTCTAGACAGGAAGCCCGATCTTGCCAAACTGGGGATTTCAGCCTCACACCCTTCAGATATATAATATAACCCTCAGTCCACTGAGCCAACCACTTTCTTTTGTGACCAAAATCTCTTTCCAAAAATAGCATTAATTTAGTGTCAGAGTACATCACTTTTCTTTCTCCACTTTAAAAGAATTACCCCGTCCAGTAAAAATTACTGTCTTTGATTTTTTTTACAAGGAATCCTTGCAACTTCTTTGTTTATGATGTCTTTTCTTCTTCCCTTCTTTTGTTTTGTTTTTTTTTTTCCGCGTGCACGAAGTCCTTTTGAAAATGTGTTGGAAAAACTCTCGAGTTCTCGCTGCCCTTCTTGGGAGTGGAGCCATATTCTGTCCTGTTGCTTTTTGCCAATTAAAGAGAATTCCTACTGTTTGACCAGTGTGCTCACGACTCCTGGCACAGCCGCCCCTGCCAAGGCACACAGTGACTTCCGACCTCACACAGATGGGCTCGTATAAAAATACTCTTGCACATCGCTGGATGCTGCCCTGGCCGCGTGCAGAGGAGGGATGTGGGGAGATGCGGAGTGGCAGAGTGGACATCAGGTTGAAGTGCTGCCCACTCTAGGTCCTCCGGGTGGGCGGCAGTGACAGGGTCCAAATGCTGGTGTAGCGGGAGTTCTTTCCGGGGAGCCCCTGGCCTGAGCCCCACTCTCAGCAGGAAGAACTGTGGCCCTGCTTCTTGAATATTCATAGCAGCCTGGCTAATGTGACAGGGCAGCTCCAAGGAGGATATTGGAAAGATAAAGTACAAAAATTGGATGCAAATTTCCACACGAAAAAAAAGTAAAGAGGCAGAGTCTTTTAATTCTGCGGAGTAAATGATCTCTTTCATAGGGACGCTCTGGTTTATTTGACATCTTGTTGAAAAAGTTCATGTGCATGCCTTCAGGCAACAGTCATAAGAATATTTGATTAGTAATATTTGTGTTGTTTTAACGTAGTTTAAGGCTGAGATTCTTAAGGCAAGCCAATATTTCAGTGATCATCGCGAATTAATTAGCCTGTGAGCAGCAGTGATGGATATCTTGGTCTAAACCATGTGTACTTTGAAATCTGTGGTCTGGTCCCGCACTACATGTGTCTTTGTGGATCTGACTTGAATGTTTGAATGATCCTCACTTCTGCAGGAAGTTCAGCAGAAGGATTGTTACGCCACAGTCATGACATTTTATATAGTGTATTCCCGTTTATTTCAAAATCATCTTCGATGAAAGGGAGAACAGCTCAGGAGCTTTGACAACAGTTCTTTCATGTTTGCAGATATTCCCGTAATCCCTGACCTTGAAGAAGTACAGGAGGAAGACCTCACAATGCAGGTGGCAGCTCCACCCAGGTAATAATGCCACTGGTGTTCTGAAAGAAAACGGAGCATATATGTGTCACATCGTACTTTTTAATTCATACTCGTTTTTTGTTTAGGTTTAATTTTTAAACTAGGTAAGTTATTTTTATCCCCATTTCAGATGGGCATTTTCAGATGTTTTCAATATCCATTCATCACTTCCCTATGCCAGTTCAGTATTTTCTGTGTTATGGAAGAATGACAGTGACTTTGAGCTTTACCTTACATATTTAAGTGATGGAAGCCTTTGCATTATTGTTCTGTTATGCAGAAATAACAGTAATAAATGATTTACACCCTGCATCCACTTTTTAGATTCACATGCTATATAATTTGATTTACAAGCCTGTGAGAGACACCTCGACACGTGTCGGCTATGTGGCAAAGCTATGACAATGGTATATGTTATTAAGCAGTCCCCGTCTCCATGTGAGATAATATCCACATTGAACTCATTGCAGGAGCAATGTAGCGTGTAATGTGCTGTAAGTAGGACTGGCATGCACTGCTAGGCCGACCGCTTCACAGACTTCTAATTCAAAATACAGATAAGCAGCTGGATTTCAGTTTGAACATCTGTAAACAGACTAATATCACGGTATTTGTGCTTTTTAGTGAAGCCTTTAGGGTTAGACGTATAAAGAATTTTGAAAGTCTCATTTGTGTTCTGAATTTTGTAATTCTGGGAAAATGTTATGAAGCAACAACGTTATGAAGTGTTGTTATTAGATATTGGAACAGAAACTGTGATGATTGTAGTTTTAGGTTTATTTATATATATACGTTATATATACATTTATCTTACAGACACAGTATTCACTCCCTGACTTCAGAATGTATTCTGTTTTTCCTTTTGGTTGAACATTTGGTTTCCCTTTGGGTGTAGATTTCAGCCACACCTCAAGAAAAACTCTTAATAGGTCTGGTATTTAGTTTTATCTGGTAAACACGCAGCACACACTACTGGCAAGCATATTCAAATAGAAGACTTTCATGCCTGTCTTTGCAAACATTTTTTGACATGTCAGGTATTCACTTGTAATAAACCATGCTATACAATGATATAATGTCCTGTTCACAAATATAAACTCTGAATGTCGGGAAATCAAATTGATTTGGATTAAAACTGTCTGCTTCAGATTAATTTATTGTGCAAGTCCCAATTCCAATATCTAAATAGCCGTAGGAGAAAAAACTACAGGAGAGGAAAATTGTATCCAGATGTTGTGTCAGTTGTGATGGGGTTTGCTTTTTATTCTGTGTAATGTAACTCTAGTCATAGGTACAAATGCAGAAACATATTGTTAACCGTAAAACGATAGAAACCTTAGTCCTCACCTCGACACATTTAACCTAATGCTTACCATTACATTAACACTAACCATAATGTGTAATTGCATCTTTATCTGCAGTTTCTGTTCATACCTATAGATTGAATTCTTCTTTCAGCATTCAGGTAAACAGAGTGATGACCTACAGAGACTTAGATAATGATCTTATGAAATACTCTGCATTTCAGACCCTGGTAAGTAATCGGTCCTACAGAAACATTTCAGTCCTTATGAAACTAAGGCAGTGTGTTCCCCTTATGTACTGTGGAGCTTCTACAAAAGTAGAATACCTTGTAAAAAGATGATGATAAAAATGCTAATGGACCAATTACAAATTGGTCCCAAGACGCAGTTTAATTCTTTTCCATGTTATCTAGTATTGCTGATCTCTGAAAATATATTAATTGACTTTTGGCCAGTAACATTTAGTTGTTTTTTAAAGAAATACAAACTTTAATCAGAAAAAAAAATTGGCAATGAACTGTCTATGACCATGTGATGGTGTTGCTGCTTTTTATTGTAAAACGCACTGTAGCTTACTTAATAATCAACCTATAAGCTTACTTTCTTATAATACTGCTTTCAAATATATTGTGTGTGTTATAATACGGGAAGTAAAATGAAGTGGTTTTATGTATTTTGATTTCTTGTTTTCACAGGACGGGGAGATTGACTTAAAATTACTCACGAAGGTGTTGGCTCCAGAGCAGGAAGTTAGAGAGGTGAGTGCTACTCTTCGAATATTGTAGAGGTCTTTCTGTTGCTACAAAGCTTATTTTTGGCTAAGTGTGTAGTGAGATTTCTCTACTGGAATTCTACAAGGGTCTAAAGGTGTGTCCATTTGTTTCATAAGGGGAAAAAAGTTCATTATAATGTCTCTCTCTAGTAATTAAGATTTATTGAGTGCAGATTAACCATGACTGTTTTTGCTCTGTCCAGGAGGATGTTGGCTGGGACTGGGATCATTTATTCACTGAGGTTTCCTCTGAGCTGCTGACTGAATGGGATCAAGGAGATAAAGAGGACCAAAAGCAACTGCCATTAGTTACTTGAGTGGAGTTCTAAAACGGTTTATTTCGGCAAGAGTGCCACTAGTACTTTTTAGAGGTGCTGTAGCAAATGGATAGTTATCTGCACATTATGAGAAAGCCAGATATTTCTGGTTAGGGTTACATCAAGCCAGTTGTACTGTATGTCTTTTCAGTTTTAGACAAGCTGCGCAACTGTACATTTTAAATACAATGTGTGACAATTTACAGTTAATGTCAGTATACAGTAGTCAGTGTACTTGCATATAAACCGACAGATGGTTATCTTACCTTTGTTCAAGCAATATTAATGTGTCAATACCCACAAAGATACCTGTTTTGTTATATTATTGTTTTTTATAACATATTTTGTAGGATTGTTATATTAAATATTTATCAAATTATTTTTTAAATCATCAAAGTGTAAATGTCTTCTATCCTGATTTAGGGTAAAAACCTTACATATGACTATTCAACAAATGGGTTGAAATTAATTTTCCCACAAGAATGCAGATGCTCAGGGTAGCACAAACTTAACATGGCATATACTGTTTTTGCAATGTGTCCTTTCATAATGGATTCACAGAAAAAGATGTTTGACAGTTTTGAGTATCTGAAGCACTATAATCAGTTAAGTTGAAATCCAGTTAATTGTTGTGCCATTATCTTTGGATCAGAGTGCAACCTCATTGTTTCTGACAGTGACTTCTATCTTCTTGTCTTTTGTAGATGCTCTTTTCTGCAACACTATTCAATTACTTAAACTGTCTTACTTCCTCTATACTGACATTTGACATTAAGAGAATGTGTTTATTCTAGAACCCTATATGACACTGAAAAAAGTATGTATGGAGTTTATATTTTTTAGGGCAACCATTTATCTTATTAAAGGCAGCAATACGCTGATGCATTGTATGGACAAGATCAACAGTCCTCATCATGCAGAATTTGCATAATGGAATTTAAGGATCTGATTCTACGGGACCATTTCAAAAGGATTGTTTAAGGATAAAGATTCATCCGTGTTGATTTGTTGCCATACTGTGGTCCCCGCCAAACTATTTGAAACTATTACTGAATTTAAACTTCGTTTCAGGATATTATGGTATATTATCCTTACTGCATTGTAATAATAACACAGAATGGCATAAACAATGGTAATTAATGAATTATAATTACAACACAAAATAGATCACTTATCATTATTGAATTGCAGGTACAGTACATAGTTCTACACCACTGTCATTACTGAATAATAAGCACAATGCAGCATATTTTGTGTATTGCATATTTCATTTCCAATATATATACCCAGAGAGTTATCATACCATAAAATGCTCTTTTATTTTAGTCCGGTCCATATTATCTGAATATCATGCAATGTCAATGCACAGAATAAATTGCGCTTGTCTTGTATGACCTACTACTAGTCCTGATGTAAACGGCAACAACAAAATGAATGATGTGATGCTGTAGGATTTTGAGTTTATTCACAATGAGAAAGTTGTGGAAGTTTAGAACTGTATGATTTTGTTGTCCATCTTTCTTTCTGCAATTGGCTTATTTCCAAACACTTAATTAATTCCACCCATATGTTGTGAGCAGCTGCTACTGCGCCCCTTCCTTCCTCACCCGCCGAGCCGCGAAGTCACCATCCATGTAGAGACAACCTCTAGCTGTCTCTCCTGAGGTAGCAGTGTTAGCAACTTTAATGCTGGCGTTTTACTAGGATTTTGTTCACTTTGAGGAAGATGATAGAGCTGTAGCAATTTAGATTATGCAATGAATGAAACCTTGTGATCAGAGTAATGGTGTGCCTTTGATGAACAGTCCCTGCTCCAGCCCTTTTTAACAGGGATTAAACTGAGCCACAATTTGGCATGTCCCCGATTCCAGCTCCTCTAACTGACCTCTCTTTCTGCTGCCTCTTGGTTGCTTCAGCAAGGGGCTGTACAACTGCTATCCATGCAAGATTTGCAGTCCAAATTAACTTACCTGCTACTAGATATGGAAATCTCAATGACATCACATGAGCTAAACAGATTATTTCTCCTGAGAACGCAAAAAAATTAAACATCTAGTTCAATATCATGAGCTGCAGTAAACACTTCTAATATTCAAACTGCAATTTAACCTTACAAAAGCATGCCTAGTTTCAAGATAAGCTGTAAATCTGATGCATTTTTATTCCATACCATTTGACAGTGACAACATTTCAGCACAATTTTTTGAATTTTTTTACGAGTATAGGGTTTAGACCAAGGAATTGAAAGAGGGTGCTCTTTCCCAACATCAGCTGCTTGTCCCCAGTATCTTCAGCATTTGCAATTGATTGGAAGATCTCATCCAGGTGTTTCTTGAAAGAAACCAGAGTATTGGGTATGTAGTCAGCCTGGATGTCCTAATCTTAGTGCACATCATTGTGTCCCCATTTGTTGCTGGGTGCCTGCAAACTTATTCAGGTACCATTTAGAGCAAGAGAGTCTGCATCAGTCCTCCTTCTGATGCTGAGTCTGCTGTTGGCGCTGTGGGCCTCGTTAAGTATATTAAATATGTGGAAAAATCATGCAGGTCCGCTAAGGTAAAAAAAAAATTGAAAATTAGGCTAGGGTGGGATGGCAGTTAGTGTTGCCACATCATAGCTCCTGGGTCCTGGGTTCGATTTCAGACTGGGGTGCCTGCTGTGTCGTATAAGATTTTGTTCCCCAGTACTCACTGGTTTTCAGTCCGAGTGCTGTGTAAACTTAAGTGAACTGGAACAAAAGCAGTATACATATAGCGTGGATATAGAACAAAAAAAACCCCTGAGGAGTGTATTCCCTGTTCTCAGTGAATAAATGTATTTGACAAGTAACATGGCCAGTTTGAGAACAGAAAACTGACAACATGGGTGCTGTGTGGAGGTACAAGGAGGTTTGCATCTGCAAGCTCAGTTAACAATTAACCATTCCAAACTGCGTGTTAAAAAAAACAATGGGCAATTCCACATTTTTATAATAAATAAAAATGGATCCAAGGTTTTAAATAAATTATATCACAAGCTTTATAACACCAGAGTAAAAAGAAAACAGCCTTATTTCTTCATACATTTGCTTCTATTGGAAGTTTCGGCAGAAACTATTTTTACCTACTACAGTAGTTTTACTAATTACTAACGTCTAGTGAACAAATACTACCAATGTGGAACTGTGTGATGAACATGTATTTTTTTATTAAAAATGTACACTGGCCTCTCACTTAACATTTTTCTTTGGAGGTTGGCAGACATGTTTTAATGTATTTTGATATGGAAAACTAATTAGGGTTAGGAAAAGGGATAATTTGTTTCTAGCTATTTTAATATGCTAAAGTGCTGACAGACATTATATATCTTATCTGGTCTTAATATCTAGCTTCCTTGTGGCCCTAAAGCAATACTTTGTGTTTAATTAAAAAAAATAAATCTTGAGATCTTTAGATATCCTGTGCTGATACAGGTCTCCACTAATAGATAGAGTGAGGTGTGTGGAAAGATGTGCAATGAACTCATGTTAAAGAGCTATTGTGCTCGACTGTCAGTTGTTGGGGAAAAGTAATGTCAGTGGCCTTTTAAATTCTTGACCAAGAGTTACATAACCTAGAAGGTGCCACTACCTTTGCTGAAGCTTGCGACTAGAACTGTTTGAGTTTTTAAGCACCCTCTGCAGGGTGAAGGGGCTGCCATTTTTTAAGATTCCTGATAAATACACAGTAGAAGGCTCCTCAGAAAAGAAGGTTATTTTAAAGGCCGGCAATTTACAGAACTGACTTTCAAGGATGATCATTTTACTACGGGTTTCTGTTTTACTTTTATTTGCCCATTTCCATCTGGCTAAACTATGACAGCGAAGTTTTTCAATGGCGATGGCACTGTAAATTAAAATGTCCTTAAATGTAACAAAAAAAATACAGTTTTTGTAGTAGCATTTAGTTTCAGTAAAATATGTGCACAGCAGGGAGTTTATCTGATTCCAGGCTTCAGTTTGCTGGGGAGCCATCTGTGTGAAGTATGCATGTTCCATGTCCAGTATGTTTTCACCAGGTACTGTTTCCTCTTGCCTCTCAAGGACAAGCTAGCTGGCTCCATCAGAGTCTCTGAACTTGGTGTGTAAGCCCTGCAATGGACTAGTGTCCCAGCTGTAGTGCAGCCCCTGTCAAGCAGCCTCTTTGCAAGATTAGGCTTCACTTGGTTGTCTTTAGGGTGAAGTGGTTGAGGATAAAAGGATGATTGATGGATTTGTTACAGAAATATGTATTTTTTTCATGACTCTCTAATGTTTTTTTAAATATTTAATCCAATATTAAAACTTAATCCAATATATTTTGAAATACCATAGTTGGTGGCACTTAACAACAGCAGCTAAAATGAGCAAAGAAAATGATAAATTGCCAAAACAAGCTTCAAAACTCTTCAAATATCTCTTTAATTTCATGTTTTATTTGATAATTTATTTATAAAAGTTTGTGATCGAAACTAGTTCTTTCACCTTTTCTAATTTCAAAATAAAGCCCCTGCTGTAGCCCCAAGGTACGGAGATCAATACGATTCATCGATCAAAAAGGGAAATTGGTTTTGAAAGGTTCAGATCAAACAGAGAGATTTTGTGACTCTTGATTATGGGGGGAAAAAAACAACTATTGTGAACTGCTGTGGCTGCAACAATTCTTGGAAAAGGTCTTGGAAAAACAGGGGCCACTCCTGAGCTGAGCAGCTCCTTTTAAGAAGAGTGCAGGGAGACTTGCAAGTTGCTTCAGTTCAGTGAGGGTCTGCATGGTTTTTTTATTCCATTGCTTTTTTTTCCTTCCCCAGGTGGGCTGGGACATAAAATGACTGGGAAACTGGCAGACTGGAATGCCCCAGGGCACCTCAGTTTGTTCAGGTTGTCAAAGGGCTGGGGGATGGTGAGGTGCTGTTTTAGAGTACAAATTAACTGAAAAAAACTCATTATATTTGTAACGCCAGCATTGCATAAATTCTTTTTTTTTTTGGTTAACATGAAATACTGGCGGTGGTGACATTTGTCATGTATTTTATTATTTTCTCTCTTCTCCCCTCAATCCCGCACAGGGCCCTTCATTTTTCACATGAGTGGTTTTCTTATCATTTCAGACCCTCTCTTGGCCTATGAGTGACTTAAAGGCAATAAAACACAAACATTCTGTAAAACATGCACTGGGCCTGTGGTGGAAGACCCTGCCCTGCCTGCTTGGAAAATGACGATAATAACTCAGCCATCCGCGGGCCTGGCCTGGTTGAAAGAGGGGAGTCATCGGGACAGGTCAAGGTGGCGGTGACAGTGGCTAATACCTCTGTTCATAAACGCCTCTGATCATGAAAATCTGTCCCACCGGTGCGAGGAAGCTTATCCGTTGACGCCTGTGTTCCTTTTACAACACACAGTACCAGTTATTCAGGCTGTGAGCGGTAAGCTCTCAACACAACGGTTAAGTGAGGTTCACTCCAGTCTAGCTGCTGGTCAAATGGTCAAGGTTACCAACAATCTGTGTTTAGATGAAGGCATTGGCCTTTTACTGACTCCAATCAAAGTGCTTTACAGGTCATGGGGACTCCCCTCCACCACCACCAGTGTGCAGCCCCACCTGGATGATGCGATGGCAGCCATAGTGCACCAGAACGCTCAACACACATCAGCTCTCAGTGGGGAGGAGAGCAGAGTGGTGAAGCCAGTTCATAGAGGGGGATTTTTAGGAGGTCATGATTGGCCAATGGGAAATTTGGCCAGGATGCCTGCTCTTCTCGAGAAACATCTTGGGATTTTTAATGACCACACAGAGTTAGGACCTTGGTTTTAGGTCTCATTCGAAAGGGGGTTGTCTTTTTACTGTATAGTGTCCCATCATTAGGGGTGGAGTGGTGACACCATGGCTAAGGATTTGGGCCTGTGGCTGGAAGGTTGCCGGTTCAAATCCTGCGGCTGGCAGAGGAATCCTACTCTGGTGGGCCCCTGAGCAAGGCCCTTAACCCCAACTGCTCCAGGGGCACTGTACAATGGCTGATGCTGCACTCTGATCCCCAAGCTTCTCTCCCTGTCTGTGTGTCTCATGGTGAGCCAGCTGGGGTATGCAAAAAGATGAATTTCTAATGCAAGAAATTGTATATGGCCAATAAAGTGATCTATTATACTGGGGGATTAGGACCCACACAGACCGCAGGGTGAGCACCCTCTGCTGGGCCCATTAACACCTCTTCCAGCAGCAACCTTGGTTTTTCCCAGGAGGTCTTCCACCCTGGGCAGGCTCACTCCTGCTGAGCTCCAGTGGGCTGCCAGTTGCGAGTCACAGGGTGCTGGAGCTGCTGGCTTCTGGAGACAGTGACCCATAAGGGGATGACAGTTTGATGCATCCGTCACATGAATTTTTTTGAATCATATCTTTTACCTCATTTGCTTTAATTTGCTTCATTGAGTTTTGT